AATAATAAAGAAACCGCACAAAAACACAAAGAAAGGATCGCCCAAAAGACAACAAACAGAAGAAGGACAAGTAACCAAACAGATGTTTCCACCTGCAGGAACAGTCATAATCAGAGTTTCTTTCAGCTATATCTCCGGGGGGGGGGGGGGGGGGCCCCTCCTCCCCCCTCCCCCCCCCCCCCGGTGGAAAGCCAAGCGCCCCCCCCCCTTAGCAAAAAATGTCCAACAATAAATCAACTGGCAATGCCCCCCTCCCCCAACCCCGGGAGAAAATTTCTGAAATAATCACTGGTCAGAACAGACGTCGACCATATCGGCTATTGATTTTAATTATTTTTTTTTTTAAAGTATAATAATAATACAATATTTAAATGAATACTTTTTAAAAAGTACGCTTTCCAAAAATGTACCGGTACTAAAAAGTACCTGTATAAAATAAATGTCACCAAAATTTTCAGAGTTGTTACAAATCGTAATATTATAATTTTAAAAAGCGTGAAATGAGTCTGCCGAGACTCATGTATCACATGGTCTCCCTCCTCCTTCGGGATGTCCGCGTAGTGGAGTAATAATAAAGTGGTAATGTTTTATTTTGGTTTTCCCTGTACCGTAATAGTAAGTGTAAGATCAAACTTCAAATCATCATATTTTTCGCCAAAAGGATAACTCCCTGATCTTCCCCATTTGATCTTATTTTCAAACCTTTTTACTTAGGGATCTGGCACAAAATTCTGCCAAGAACGAAGAAAAAACTGCAACATCAACAAAAAAATATAAATAACGTCGGTAAATAAAGTTTGAACAACATTTTTTTAAAGGCTTTATGGTAGAGTTATCGAAATGTATTTCCAAAGAACAAGCTTAAACAATTTGAAGTGTACATGAAAAAAATAACTTGGTTTAAATTTAAGAAACAAAATTACTCTTTGACATCAGCTGATAGCACTAGCACACCAAAAATTTAATTGCACTTAAATTACCTTACATTTACATTGGTTTACATTACAGAGGTGGACTAAATTTTTATTTCTAAAAATATTTTTTTTCTTCTAGTTTTTGAATTTTTCCCAACTTAATAATATTTTATATTTATGGATAGCTTTGAACAAATTAGGGCTCCAAATGAACTTTTGAAGAGTAATGCCTCTTCCAGATTTCATCATCTAGTCTAGAAGTAGAAGTTGTACAAGAGACCGCAGCCTAATTGTGATCAACAAAAACTGCACTGTTCAATACGGTGGTCCTCCGATGCACTAATGGTACCGGTACGGTAGTTGGAGTTTCTCAAGCTGAATTAACTGTAACGGATTCCTATTATTACTAGTACTGGTAGTACACAACTGTGTTCATTTTAAAAAAAAAATCTACAACCCTATAGAAATATTATAAATCATCCATTTATGATTACATTACATTTACATGCATAATTTATATTATATATGTATGCGTAGAGTTAATACCCATGCTAAAAACTGCCAGCATGTAGCTCTACTTGAATCTAAAACAGGAAATTATCTTATGACATAACTTCCCCAGTTGAAAGACAGAACACCTTTCCATATTTCAAAGGTGGAATTTTCAACATCGAGTCGCAATCTCATTGAAGACCCGAGAAGAAGCTTCTCTTGGATAATGGCCAAGAGAAGGCTTGAAAGATTTCATGAGAATGTCTGTATCACAGAGATCCTCACAAATCTCAAATATTAATCTCAATATGTTGTATAAGCCCCTGTCCCTGCTTTGCATAGCAAAGAATTGCTGGTGCTGGTGAAATGAGGAATATCACATACAAACATTTTCCTCATACCGGATCATTTATTTCATTCAAAAAGCTACAAAAGAAACGTACTCCAAAACATAACAAGAAAATGCTTTCGCCTTATAATTAATTACTTATATTCGTTAATAATCTTTCAGAATTGAATTAGAAAGCAAAAAAATTCAATAGTTTTGAAATTACAAACTAGCTATGTATAAGTAGTAGATAAATTTTATAAATTCATGTACCGGTAGTACAAATGTGATTATATCAAATTAGCTTTAATTGAACTCAATCTTTCATTTTAACCAGAATCTCAATTATAAATGTTATATTCCATATGTGTACGAGTATGTATTATAAATTACAATAACTCATAAAGTATAAGTATAAGATGTTCAAATTTAAATTACATAATTTTTTTAAAAAATTAAATTTGTAAACCTCTCAGTCAGGTAGCGAATGGAGAATATCATAATTGAGGCGATCGCTGGTTATTAAAGTTAAATCTATTATAACTTTTCAATGTAAGGTGATCAGAACAAAAATGACAAATATTTGGTAGTATTTATCAACAAATATCAAAATATTGCAAATCAATTAAAGAAAGCACCTTTACTGCTGAAGATATTTCATTGTTTACAGTTAAGTTCAAGTTAACAAAATTACTCTACATTGCAGTCTAGATTTAACAATAATTTTACTTTTCATATTCTCATTCTAGTGTTAGCTTTTCACAATTATTTTTTTTACACATGAAATTATTTAATGCCATCTGTAAATGTTTTTTCCTTTAGTTTTCATGCAAACTTTTACATCACTAACTAGTATCATGCAAAAGCTCACCAGTTTGTTTCCATGTCAGATAAATATGACTGGATACAAGTACCTTGCTGCAATGATAACTTTAATTAACATCTAACTCTTCAGTATCAGCATTGTAATGTAAGATACACACAACAAACATCAATGCTACTGCTACACCTAACTATTTTCAAGTCCCAAGACAACTAGTATTTAGAAGAGTATGGTTTAGTTGTAGTACTAAACCTACAGACAACTACTGGTACTTAAATGTTATGTTTAATTCATGTCACTGGTGGTTGTTGACACAGAACTAACATCACACAAATGACTACCTAAATAATACAGTACCATACAGACTATTTTAAAAATAGATTTGACCAAAAAAAATAAGGACTGTAATGGAGTACACAAGAAATATTCAAGACATCGACACTTGGAGAAATACTTCAATCCAAGATATTGACACTTGGAGAAATACTTCAATAAAGTGGATAGGAAGTCTATCCTTTCCTAGATTAAATTAATATCACAGAAATTGCTGTTGTCAAATGTAACAACATTGGACAGGAGGCAAAACAAGATATAAATAAAGAACACATAGGGCTATTGTGTTATAGTCTTCTTTATTTACAAATCTAATTACAATTGACTGACAATCAGGTGGATTGGGCTCTAATTGAGGCGAGCAGCTCTGTGGCACAAGAGAAAAATGTCTCTCATACAAAAAAATTTGCACTTATGTCAAGCATAAAAAAATCTATGCTTGAATATATATAAGGATATAAAAAAATAAATATGCACAAATACTCAGCCATGATGAAACAATAGGTTTCTTTCATGATTATATGACAAGGACAATAAAGGGAGAAGAGTTCCTTGCTGATGACTTGACATATATCAAGTCAAAACCCTGAATATTCATGATTAAATGCATCACAAATCATAGCAATACATGAGGGAGCTGTGAGCGAGTCTCAGCCCCCACTTTTAAAAGAAGGTGCACCACCTGCACCATTGAGCAAGTCTCAAGTTTTTAAAACAATTCTTAGCATGTGCTCATAAATTTTCTTGACATTTCAAAAGCTACATATAAATGCTAAGGCATTCAAAGTTCAGTTTATAAAATGTTAGAACACACAACATTCAAATCAGGAGTCACCAATAGTCAAAGTTGAATAGTGCAGATAAAGTTGGCTCAATTTTATACAATTATGCCAAATTTATACAAGTTCATTTCCAGGACAAATATCAGAATCTTAATTACCATTATTATCAATGAAATGTATTATTAAAGTATCTACATCTCTATTGGTGACTTCTAACATAAGAAAATGTAATCATGCAGAGGAAATGGTTGGCATAGCAAGGAATGGTGAAGGGTAGCTACAATGAAGTACAAGCAAAAATGAAAAGCACTGTTGCTACATTAAAGAGTGCATGATATAAACATATTTGTTTTTTAAAGTAAGAATTGTCATACTAAAATCCTACCCAACATTGCTTCTCAAGATTTTTTTACAAAGGGATAAATTCCTGCTATTTTATAAGCACTAACCCAACATTCCATCCAAACTGAATGTGAATTCATAAAAATAATTAAATTCTCTTCTACCCATTGCAATTATCTTTTTTTTGGGTGCTACCGAGCTTCATTTTATGTCTACATGCCTTTGTACAGCAGTGTCAAGGTATAGAATAGTGTTAGCCTGCATGTTTCACTAGTGGCTTATACAAACTACTGTGCATGATTCACTGCATTACATTCAGCTCCTAAATAATAAAATCCATTCATATTTCATAGAAGCTAAATTCATTTTCATTTAAAGTATTCAATGAATGCTTGAAGTTATAGTTATAACATATGATTAAAAACAATATTAATTGGCTTGTGATTTTTCATTAAGAAATAAAAACAAATGAGCAATCAAATTTTTAAAAGTTAAAATGCACTAGAATTATCTTCATTTAAAAAACGCACACAAACTATAAGGGCCAATAGACACACTGGAAAGCAAACTGCTATACATGAAAATATAGTCAGAGAAACACTGAAACAGATGTTGCAACATTTTCTGTTTTGTTTTTTTTTTAAATACTTTTTCTTTTGACGAATAATTAAAATTAATATTTGGATCCAAGATATATACCTCTAACATTGTACTTAAAAAAAAAATGGAGCCAACACAGCTGCATTTTAAACATTTAAAATTTCTCTATTCACCAATTTACTTCAAAAAGATAGTTCCAATTCAATGCAAAAAAAAAAAAAAAAAAAAAAAAAGAGTTAAACTTTAAAACCAATTAGGGAAAAAAAAATTTAAAAGAGGGGGCCCCCTGGCGGTTGGAAAAAAAAAACCCCCCCCCTTCCCAAATTTTATAAAAATAAAAAAAAAAAAAAAATAACAAAAAAAAAAAAAAAAAAAAAAAAAAAAAAAAAAAGAGTTGAACTTTAATACCACTTAGGGTGAACTAAAGTTGAAAGATGTGGGCACCTGTCGGTTGGTAAACATATAACCACCTCCTTCCTCAATTTTCTTAGAATCTGAGAAGAAAAAAAAATGTTGAACATAGTAATTTTCAAATTTACATTTACCATTCATTGCAAAGTTATTTCAAGATTGTTTAATTAGTAAATGAAAATTACCAAAATATAACAAGATTTGGATGAGTGCTTCAGAAGAAAAACAGTTTAATCTAAAATTGAAGTTTAAATCTTACCAGCAACTGCTTTCTTCTGTTCTGCAAGTTTAAAGACTTCTTCAATTTCCTTCAACTGCGCTGGGTTCAGTACACCAACAAGGGACTGGTACCAAACACTATCCTGGTTTGGCAGATCTAGACAGGGTATGTACAAATGAATAAGGCGATTTTTTAAATAAAGCCAAGATACCTAAATTAAATAAAACATCCATCATGCCAAAGAAACACATCAATAACTTTGTTGTCATACAGTAATTTCATGCAGTTAAACTTCATATCGCTACTCAAAACATTTAAAGTTCATGTCACAAATATATGTCAATAATAAAGATTAAAAAAGATCTAATGAAAGAAATGTAAAAAAAAAAAAAAAAAAAAAAAAAAAAAAAAAAAAAAAAAAATAAAAAAAAAAAAATAAAAAAAAAAAAAAAAAAAAAAAAGCATACTTGACAAGATATTTTTGAATGACACATATTCATCCACAGGACAGGTGTCTGCATCAAGAGCAGTTGTATAGGATTCAAGGGCAGTCTCTTCAGCACCGTCATCAGTCAGTTCTTCACTGTCATCATCCTCATTACGATTCTAGTAAATAAAATAAACACCAATCTTTAAAATTTTCCTCAATTAACTACTTTGAAGAACATGTAAAAAGAAACAATAATTTATCTTTACTTCTTGTAAGTCTTTCAAATGTTTACTCACTGCTTTCTCTAGACGCTCCAAATACTGCTGGCTAGTCTCATCTATCTCATCCTCATCACTTGAAAGGATTTCACCTGGATTAAAAAAAAAAGTAAAGTAAAACATCTATACACTCCTTACAAACAAAATTATATTTCAACACAAAACCCCAAACATTAAAAATAAATAAGCATAATACAAAAGTAAGATTACCTTCATAAGCATCATCATCATCTTCATCCGAGTCATCTGAGTCACTTTCATCATCAAGAGCGCGACCTTTAAAAAAAATGATATATTTGATCAATTTCTCTTGCATACTACTGGTTATATTTTTTTCCTCAACTGCAGGCCAAGTACTAAAACAATATTTTGGTTATTTACAACTACTGCAGACCTGTTTACCCTCAAACTCCTAAAAAAATTGTACACATTTCAAAATCTTACAATACAGTATCTAAATAGTAAGTAAATAAACATACACTATATACAAATTTATACAGTAACTAAAGCATCTCATGTCTAGTGGGATTGCGTTAAGCCGGTTGTAAAATAAGATAACTTCTACATGTAGATGGCTCGACATTTATATTGCAATCTGCTGTCACTTTGTTTTGCAGACATGTATTTGCTACAGATTTTAATTAATCTTTGGTGAGCATGCAGATCAAATATAAGTCTGTTACTGGTAAAAATAAAGTTACTGGTGAAATTTAATATGCTTCAAACTCGAATCGATCAGCATAAAATAAAATTTAATGAAATAAGAATTTATAAGCAAATGATAACATCATTTAAAAACCTACCAAGTAACTTGAGATTTATAATTTAGGAAAAGCTGGTTTAAAAAAAAAAAAAAATTAAAATCAATATCCATTAAGCCTAATACCCACTAATATATTTTAGTCTAGTAACTACCAAAAGCTGTAAATGGGTGAAAGGAAGAGGAGTGATGGAACGAAATAGGATATTACAAATCTTGTATCCATTTTGTGTGTTCTAAAATCCGATAAAATATATCAAAAACTTCTGTTGTGGTTTGCAGAACGAAATATATTAAAAAACAAAAGAGAGGATTGACTTAGTCATTAACAATAAGGTTGCCGTGTCTAGCGAGTTATGAAAACACACAAAGCAACAATATTACTATCCCCACTATCATTACACAAATGTTGTGGTGTTCATTTTATAGACTTAAATATTTAGACCCCCCTCCCCGGCACACCCGTATACAAAATCTCCCAAATCAACACCATCGCTTTCCTCTCCTAAAGCAAACATAATATTTGGTCCTTAACCAATAATATTTCTGGATCCATTTACTGCCAGGCGTAGAGAGCAGGTTAAAAACTAACAACCGAAGATGTACTGCTTAATAATTTTTTTTATTAATTAGAAAAACTACAAGAATGTATATAATTTTCAACCCAATTTCTTAAAATCGTAGTTGTGACAGGTCTTTGCATACAAATTTTACATTGTCCAACAAAATCGTAAGAGTAAACAGGTCTGCCGTATCATCACGAAAAAATGATGTATTTCAAATGTGTGTTTATTTTATGTAAAGAATGAATAACAATGAAAAAATGTGATCATTTGTGATACATCCAGTGAGCCACGATATTTCATGTGAGGGGGCCACACTATTTCACGTGGCGGGCCACAATATTTCACATGGCGGGCCACAATATTTCACGTGGCGGGCCACGGGTAGGCCACCCTTGCATTAAGGCTAGAAGCTTGATTTTATTTTCCTTAAATATATTATGGTCTAATAACCAAAGCAAGCTCTATTGTGAGAAGGGATGAGAAATGCTTGAACCAAACTGGGGTATTAAAATTGTACAGTTGCTCAGTGACTTCTACAATAAGATAGCATCAATAAAAATGTACAAATAAGCAGTTTTCGGTAGATGAACCAAATAATTATGTCACAAACTTACATCATACAGCACTGAAGCAAACATTAGGGAAACTACACTAAAAATTACTGTTGCCATATCTAGCAAATTCATGGTGAAAACACAAAGCAACAATATGACGACCATCTCTATTCAATAGGAAAAGCTGGTTTTAACAATAAAAATCCATTATGTCTATTTCTGAACATGCATTAAGTGGCGGTCTTATTTTAGTCTATAAAAATATTTTGACACCTATTTATCCTCCCCCCATGCATACCAATATGAGCCTTTGTCAACAACACTCCCCCCTCCATTTTTTAGTGCGTATGTAATATAGCTATGGATGGTCCCCAACTAATAGTAGTTCTCTGTTCATTCACCGCCGGATGTAGAAAGGAGATAAATCTAACAAACGAAAAAGGTTTACTCGGTTTTTTTAAATATAAACTAACAATTTATTTTTCAACACTAAGCTTAATAAAATCATAGTTCTGACTGGTCTCTGCATATAATTGTACAAAAAAAATCAAAATCATACTGTGTGTATGCAAAAATCTTAAGAGTAACCAGGTCTTTAATTCAATTTGAAGTATGGTGAAAAATGCATTTTTAAATTTTCTTCTAATCAATGGTAATAAGGGCTCTCAATCCGGTTACGGATTAAGCAAATGATTGAAAGTCACATTCCTTTTGCTATCCTCTGGGACACTAAATTGCAACAATTGTTTTTATTTTTTTTTTATTCCTGAGGAAGGCTTCTTGCAGACTCTTTTGTCCTTTTTTCAGGTTTTCCCCATTCTTTGCTATTTCCTTCTTCAAATCAAAAAAAAATTTGACTCAATAATGGACTGGATTAGTATATCATCCTGAAAAATCTTTGCAAAAATTAAGAAGAAAAAAATATACTGACTTGCATAGGCTCGTTTCAAACCCTGGAAGAGAAGCAAAGCTGCCGGCAAAATTTGGGGCGCAACCTCCATAACTTCTTGAGGTCTCTGACCCACCATGTTTATTAAAGAGCAAAGTCCAAGAATGCTCATCTTGCGATCATGGAGGCTGAAATTAAAATAAATATTCAACTTTTGAAAAGCTGAATAATGAAGAAAACTGATACTTCTTAAAGACTCCCAAACTTTAAAAAAACTAAAAAACTGAATAAATTCACTTACCCAAGGAAACAATCTGCATCATGTAGCCACTGTTTTAAAAACTGGCCAAGGATAGAGCCCTGAACGTTAGGAATCTGCATTTTACTTAAGATATCCAACAGTAGTGGAGTGTTGTAATAAAGTCCAGCAATTACCACCTGGAACATGAATAAGCATTTACTTAAAAGCAATAAGGTGGTGGTGGTGCTTTTTTGTTGCAATTAATTAAAATTAATGTTACTGATAGCGAAAGTGCTAATAATATAAATTTCCTGAGCATATACCTGCAGACAAATGGTTCGTAACTCTGATGTTTGTACTTCTTTAGTTAACCTCTGCAGTACTAGCTCTATGAATGAGCCCAACACCTGAAATTAATTTAAATTATATGAAATAATGTATAAATTAACAATTTGGGTTTTCAGAATGATTTACCTATTCAACCCAGGACTTGGTAATTTTACCTTGTTAATTCCCAGCCATAGGGGAAAAATATGATATAAGCCTATTATTGTGAAATAACTACATGGAACAAAGTAAATGTCATTCATAAACAGTTGCTTTATGTGTCTACATCTTCTATGTGGTGTGAATTCTTAAGTTCTGAATCCAGAGTTCCCCATTTCGAATAACAATGCTTATACTATGGATTTGGCAGTTACAGGATTGAATAAGTGAAGGCAAGATTTGTTTATTAATTGGGTTAGCTAAGCTTAAAACAAAATTAAAAGGAATCAAATATTCCTTTCTTAAATAAGCATGATAGGTTGTCGAAAAATTGCATACTGCTAGACTTTCATTTGAAAGTTCCCCTTTTCTAAATACCAATGCTCATTGGCAATTACAGGATTGAATAAGTATGGGCCAAATTTGGTCTCTTTGCTGGGTTAGCTTAGCATAACATAATTAGAAGGAATCAAATATTTCCTTCTATTAAATAAGCATGGACAACTTACAAAGCATGGACAACTTACATGATCTACTTTTCCAGGACACTGCAACAGAATAACTTCTAGAAGTTTAGCTGCATGACATTCAGCATCTTCACCAACATCAGTGTTAAGAACCTAGTTATCCAAGACAGAAAGAAATATCTTTATTAAAGGAATATACACAATAATGACTATTGGAAGAATTAATCTTAAATAGCTAAAAACAAGGAGGAGGATTAAAACTACCCCATATATACATTTTAATGGTAAATAATATTAAAATTTCCTGTACTATCTCTGTTTTATACATCCACAAGTTTTGATTTACAGTTAGTGTAAAGTTTCAGTTTGATGCACATCCTTAATTATAAGGGTTACATAAAATGCAGTTCAAGCAGGAGTAAGTTATTGGTGCCCTTTGAATAAATCAAAGATTGTCTCAGAACCAAATAAAAAAAGGGAACTTTTCTCTGTATAACAAGGCTTTTAAAAATCCTTACAGTTTTACACATGTTGTATATGACTTCTAAGTGAGTAGGATTGGCCAAGAAGGCGTCAGTGTCCACAGTGATGTAGTTATGTAAAGCTGGCATCATGTCTGGAATTTTATACAACTTAACATAAGATATGGTCAAAATACAACAAAATAAAAAACAAAAGCCCCTCAGCTCTCATAATCATCTGTCATTGATCGAGTGCACAGCAAGCTAAGACAGAAAAAGCATAAGAAAATAAACTAAGACAGACAAAGCAAACTGAGTAGAACAGGATAGACAGAGATTGGCAATAGGGCAATATAGATTCTAATAGAAAAAGCAGTTAGTTTAGAAGAAAAGATACAGAACTTGCTTATGCACCCCTCTTGATCTCATGGTTTAGTTTACATCACTGGGGCACAATTAATAAACTGAAAACCTTTGTTATTCAGATTCATTACATAACTTTTATATGTACCTTAAAATACATAATAACTAAAGAGCCAGTGGAAATTTGTTAAAATACCAGTAAAATAATCAATTCCATTCTTCTGAAACATCTGGTAAATCATGCCAAAAACTTCCCACATGTGATGAGAAATTTGTGAATTTGTGAGACTGTATATCAGTGAGAGCACCTCTTCATAAAAATCTGAAAATAAACAATAAATAATTACTTCATAAATCATTATTTGCCCAAATTAATTCAAATTATTTTAAAAATTGTAAGCTTTATTGGGAATTATAAGCAAATCTTATTAATAAGTATCATTACATAATATAGTTTAAAAAAATGCATTTTTTTTATCAAAGGCTATTGAACTAAAAACCAGAATATAAATAAAACGGTTCACCAAATAATAACAGTGCATTATTGGTTTATTTAGCTATTTTAAACAAGCAAGCATTCTTAGTATTAATAATATAAGTGCTCTATCATGCACACTCACCTAAAATGTCAGTTTGCAGAATAATGCCAATCACATTAAGAACAATTCCTTCCAGCTGTATTATAATCTGTAAAATTTAGATCACATTAATTTGTAACAATAGTCTATTAAAAATTTCTTAAAGGATGATTTGTACTTTATTTTTCTTCTTAATGTACATTCAAGATAGCATAATTTAAACTTACTTCTTTCTGATCCTCCATGACATTAAGAATAGTTTCCATTGTGTTTATAATACCAAGAGCAGTTATGGCTTTCTCCTCCGAACCATCACTATCAGATTCTATGACCTGGGCAAATGTCTGTGCCTGCAACGTAAAATTGTCAAAAATGGCAATAGACCGTAATTTGAAGTAACAAAACCTATTTGTTCACTCCTTGATGATGAAAAGTATTTTGACAAACTCTATTCAACCCTTGATATTGGAAAATAATATGAACAATTTTGTCTGCATTTTTAACTAAAAAATGCACAACAATGCATTTAACTTAAAAAAAGCCTCTTGCTTTAAAAAAAAATATGAAATAACAATAGTGTTGAGTTACTCATTACATATTTTATATGAATACTTACAAGGTGTGACATCATTTCAACAGCAATAGGAATGACATCCTCAACATAGGTACAAACTAATTTTTGCATCACTCCTGTCAAGTCATCATTCTCTGTTTCTCTAATGATTTGAAGAAGTTCTGCAATAAAGTAATGCAATTAAATTGATATAGAATTGAAAATTTAACTTGTTTCAGTCTTGAGTTCCTTATATTTCTTTTTTAAATGTATTGTATTGGAAGCCAGCTACTCATTACAATAAATATAGGACCAATGCTTTTGTTAGAAAAGTAAGTAAATGTTCTGGAAATTCTCATTAATAAATTCTATTAAAAAATGTAGTTTTTATAATTCAAAAAATTATTTCATTAACTGTCCATATTAAAATTATTATAGCCAATTTGTTATAGCACATTATAAGCAGTATTGTTAGTCTAATACTTACCAAGTATAACAGGCTTTACATATGGTTGAATGTAGTTTTTTGCTGAAATAAAAATTTTAAATCTTGTTAAAATCTTCAAATTAGATTATATAAACTGTAAGCTTTGCAATGACATTTCAACTGTATTATTAAAATAAATACATCTCATACCCTTCTCTTGTTCAGATATAAGCATCTGCAGTGCAATAGCTGCTTCAACCCTGACAGGTAAATCTTTATCTCCACACAGTGCACTTTTAACAAGTTCCACAGCAGCCATTAAGTTTTGATCACTTCGAAATTTCATCTCAGAAAAATACCGAATGACCCAACAAGCCTATTGAAATAAAATGTATTTAAATATAATTATCACAAATTTTTAGAATTTTAAAATTCAGCAGATTCTATCTAATATTGTGACTATTAATTATTTTACAGTAGTATATACCAGTGTAGTTTGACAATTTTTGTGACCATCTGAATAAAACTTAATAGAGTGCAGCCTGTTCTAAAGATTGAGTATATTGATAATTTTTTTTAAAAAAAGAGTTTCTTCTCTTAACTCTAGTGTCAAAAATAACAACAAATAACATCAACCATCTTTTTAAAAATGACACTATAAAAGCAGAAAAGACAGTTTTATACAAAAGTGTAATTTTTATATTTACCCTAGCCCTAAGGAATCCATTTTCATTGCTAAAGGCTGGAAATACATGAGATGTCAACATGAGCTCAGCCTGATCCTTGTAGATTTTCCTCTGAAAAACATGTTTAATACAGTTAATGCATAAAAAGAGAAACATTGGATCAATATTTAGGGCCTTTCCAAATCTTATAATACAAATTGTATCAAAAGGCCCATGATTACATGTAAAAACCAAGATAAAATACAAAGCTCTACTCTTTTCAGACCCAAGCATTGGTAATGAACACTACTTATGGTAGCTTTAGCATTTCCGCCAGTATCAACTAAATTACTGGGAATAAAATCCCAATAGAGTATGGTATCCCATTTTTAAAAGGGATTCCAATCGGGCTTGGTATCAAATCCCAATGGGATCTGGATACAGAGGGGATCAAGATCACACCGGAATTTGGTTTTCAGAGGTATCGGGATCCCATTGGGATAGGATTACCAATAGGATCAGGAGGTAGACCCAAGCAACGTCAGGTATATTGGCTAAATTTAAATATACAAATGTTAGAGCAGTTCTTCCTTTAGTTCAGGAATAATGATTTAATAATTTTGGCGCCTGCAGGCGTGAATTATGGACAGATTTATGCATATTTTAAAGTATTAAAATTTTTATGACATGTGTAAGTATGAAAGAAGCAATTAATCATATAATTTCATGAAAATAGAGAAGTAAATAACTAAGGAAAGTTTCAATTAACTTAATAATTAAGCAAAAGCTGAAAAATACTAAAATACTTTGAATTTGGTAACAAGCCAATCTAACCTTCAATAAAACTTCTGCAACTGCTCCAACCATATGAAGTGCACCATCCTTTTGTCTGGGAGTCGAGTTGGGGTTGGTGAGTATGGACATGCAGAATCCCATTGCCTTATTTAAAACTTCCTTGCGCTTGGCAGTGGCAGAGTGAAAAACTGTTTGAGCAGCCATCACTGGTGATAGGAAGTCCTCAAACACATCTATAAGGAGCAGATACATTAAAATCAGAGGAAATAGACAATCACTTGGATCAACTGATCACAAGATTATAGAGGGTCCAAATACAGTTATGAAAATCAAATTTGCAAGTTGGTTATGACTTTTTAAAAACATTTTAATTTTACCCTTTCTCGTTAAATATCAGATATGATTTTTTCAAATAAAATCGGATAATAAGCAAAGTCACTTGCAAACAATACTATACCTGAAACAAAAGTAAGCTGTTTGCATGAAAAATTATTCTTCATTATTAATTGGTTACCAGGTTTTTTAACCAGAAAGTAAGTTTTGAATAACTAATTTGTCCTATTATGGAAGAAGATAAACTCCTTGCCACAGCTCCAAATCAGGCACTGGTGGTAACATAGAAAACCAAATGGACTTTGTTGAGAATTCTGAATGTTTTATCAAACAAGTTTTGGGAAAACTGCTTTTATAAGCAGGTTTTGCGAAATTAGAAAGAGGAGGAAAGAGATGCTTAACAGCCATTTCTTTTTACAGTTGTCCCTCTCCATTCCGTGCTTCAAAACTATCACGTTTTTTGTTCTCTCAAATATTTAATGCAATTATTAAAAAGTTTATCCAGATAGTGAAAATAATACAGCACGCGCTTGGTTGTCCATTACACACCTCTGTATTACAATTAAAATTACTGTACGTATGGACTGAAGGCCTACGTATTCGATCACCCCCAGAGAATCTAATTAATGTTAAAAACTGTTCAGGTTTTCTATGCTCTGTCAAAAATTTTGATTTACATAAAAAAGAATCCTACTTCACAGAAATCCACTTATCATGGTAGTCTGAAGCTCATTAACTGCGATAAATAAGGTATGAATGTACAATGCAATCATTAAATGTACAATAGTTTTATGATTCAAAATTAAGAATAACTTAAGAATACCTTAAGCTATTAAAACTATAAAAATAATGAAACAATATATTTAAAAATAAGATTTGGCAAGCCTATTTTAAGTATTACCTACCATATTTAACACGAATATACTCATGAGGGTCTGAAGTCCACAGGTCTTCGTCTTCATCACTGTGACACATCAGAGGGAAGATCACATCTTGGATCATTGTCTGTTAAACAGTAACAAGTAAAAGATAGTAAACCCTAAAAACAGAAATATATAGATGATTCCAAGATTCGTTAAGAATTTGCAGAAAACCCTTTTTTAAAAAAAATCATAAAGGCATTTGACATTTCAAAAATGAACAAACAAAAAATTATAATAAAAAATAATAAAAAATAAGGCTTACCACAAATAAGAAGGAAAAAAATATATACCTGGATGTGTGGCTTAATGAACTTCCAAGAAAAGGCATGGCTAATTCTGTTGAAAAATGTTTTAATTATATGCTTATTAATATATTTTATTAAAAAAAAAAATTCAGATGAATCAAATCAATAAATGGATGAAAGAATTGGTAATATCAGGTGCAACTATAATATTTAATAAATAACATAAAAATTAAACCTTTTGCAAACCATTTTAATAATTTAAAATTGTACTTACCCTTGATTAATGTAGTTGAGCGCCTGCTGCAAAACACGGGGCGCAACAAACATTTTTTGTCTATATCCTTCCAACAACTTTAGTAAAACATTGAGGACACCACCTGTAAAATAAATTCCCTTTAAATTCTTTGACAAATATTTTTATGATAAGGTAGGGCTTAAAAATTCATAGGTTCCTTTTCTATTTAAAATTGACATAACTTTAGTAAAACATTGAGGACACCACCTGTAAAATAAATTCCCTTTAAATTCTTTGACAAATATTTTTATGATAAGGTAGGGCTTAAAAATTCATAAGTTCCTTTTCTATTTAAAATTGACATAAGTACTTACAAGAAAATGTTTTGAGGTACCACTCAGAAAATTCTGTGTATTCCTTGATGACATTGCCAGGGCTTCCATATCTAGAAAATGCAATTAATTAAAATTTGTTATTATAACTTAAATTCCAAACCCGGTTACACTGGAACTCCCAAAATAGAACAATGTAGACTCAGAATTGTACTTAACTCAAAATGGTACAACATTATATAATATTTAACACAGTATAATGTATTCAACGACTATTTGCATTGTATGTCTAACAAAGGTCACTTCTCAAAGTAGATGAATGATATTTATACATTTACATATGATAAGGTAGGGCTCAAAAATTCATACATTCTGGCAAATAAAAAGGTTCATGTCATTCGCTACCACAATAGAAAATGTGGTAGGGAAGCGGAAATTTAAGACGCCCACCACATGCACAACTGTATTGGGAGATGGAAAGAGGAGTGCTTAAACCAAACTGGGGTAATAATGTTTAACAGCTACTTGGTGATTTCTAAAAATATAATTAAAATGCGCTTACTAGATCTAACAAACACCACTGTGACGGGGTAGTGGAAAGGTTTACAATATATTTTTAAAAATAACATTTTGTAGTTTTCTCCAAATTTGAATCGCCGCCGCCAAAATAACAAAATAATCACATCACAAAACTACGCTATACTACTTTGAAGCAAGCAAAAGGGAAATTGACTACATTTGTCCCTAGGGTGAATACGTTGAATATCAGTAGCTGTATCGAGCAAGTTGATTGTGAAAACACAAAACAACGATCCTTGCGAAACACAGTGGTGGCGTTATTTCATAGTATTTAAAAAATATTAAGCCCCTCCCCTACCCCTCTAATACACTTCCAAGTAAACACCAACCCCACTTTCCCTAGAGTTTACGAAATAAAGAATGGTCCCCAGCCAATCAAATTTCTGTCCATTTACCGGCGGGTGTAGCAAGCAGCTAAAGCTAAAAACCAAAAAAGTTGTATATTCTTCTTAAAACATAAAAGGGACCTGAATATATTGACAGGCCTTGGCATACAGTTGTAAGAGATCTCAAAATCCTAGTGTACACGAAAATTGTAAGAGTAAACAGATTTGAAATTACAGAGTCCATACAGTGATAAAATGAATAAGAAATGAAATATCCATGGCAATAGAAATTACTGTTATCTGATCTTGTCTTTACCTCTCAAACAGTCTAGAAAGAATTCTGACAGCCCACTTTTTAAGTTTCCAACATGCCAGTTCTGGTCTATCTTCTTCATCTACCTGATCAGCTTCCTGGAATGGAAAGTTTAAAACTTTTAATGGTGATTAACCCACACCTGCCCATTGTCTTTTGTTGTAACAAATCATATGCAACAGGCCATCAATCCATTAAAAACTTGACTTTTTCTTTTTTCTAAACTCTTTCACTGCGGAATTTTTCTATGTACATTTTTTCAAAGAGCAAAAAAGGGAGAGGTTGGGTTTATTAAAAAAAAAATAAAATATTGTTTGGTTTATAAGATTAAACTTGGTACCAAATAAAAGATAACTGAATGGACTATATGTCTGTAAACTTATTTCTTCAGTTTAAATAAAATAAGCAACAGAAAGAACCATAAAAGAACCATAAAATGTGAAAAAATATGTGCAAAACCATTTTCTCCCCAAACCCTATGATGTACGCATACCTCATCTTCACTTCTATGACTCAAATCCTCTAAAACTACTACTATCTGAATCATGCAACGGATCTAAATATAAATCATCTCCACTATCAAAAGAAATAGAATAAAACAATTCCAAAGCTTTCTGAGCTGTTAATCCTCTAGGAAACTAACTCACCTACTAGAGCCTAGGGTAGTAAAAGTCTTATTTAAAAATAGCCCTTAAAAAGTTTAACTGAGAAATAGCAAAGAAACATGATATTGAAAAATCACAGAGCGCTTTGGTCCGTGCTTTTTAGAATGGCGGATAAACACAGTGCGTTACACCGCAGCGAAAGAGTTGAGTAAGAAAATTTGGAGCAAAAAAATTAATAATCAGGATTTAAAATATGGTAATTTATAGAATTACTTTTCAATATGTTGAATGTAAGATAGTTGGAACTGGGTCGGTATCACCTACTTGATTACAATTTGAAATTGTGCAATTAAAAATAATTTTCCTTGTATAATTATTCATCATTAAGAAACATTACTCACTGCTGGAATGTCTTTATCCACAATTAAACGAATGGCTTCCATCCAACGGGTGAAAATTTCCTTTGTCAGTACAGAGAGTGGTAGGTAGTTCTTGATGCAATAATTTTTGTTAATGAAATAAATTATTTTCAAATAGGCAAATTTAAACAATATTGCACAATGCGTAATAATGAATATTGTATCAATATTTGTTAATTCTTATACATTTGATAATCTTAATAAAAAATCAAAGACCAAGGAATCAAAGTCATGATAATTGTACCTTATTTACATGTTAAATTTTAAAACACATGCGAAAAGTATACAACTTAATGATATGTTCATAGAAATTAAGAGGATGAGAGGGGGAATGTGCTTATCCCTGTTAATTCAATCCTGAATAACCTACTTTTGATAAAGCTCTCTCAAAATTGCCTAACCAACAACATGGAAGGCCATAGCTTTCAATTTTAAAATCTGAAGTTGACTTTTCGTTTTTACGAGCACCCTTGGATTCACCAGGGTCGCTGGTAGAATTATCTACTAAATTTTCATTATTAATTAGGAAGTTTAAGAGTTAAAAAATAAATAAACACTAAAAGCTACCTGTGTGTAGGCAAAAAATATTTTCAGGATTTGTTTTTGTAAAAGGCTTGATACTTCAGAGGGATCAGGTGCAAACTGTAGCAAGCGTTGATACAGTATAGGCAGCATATGAGTCATAGTGTCGTCCATTGTCTGGCGTTCTTCACATCTTTTATATCTGATTTTAAAAACATTCGAATCAATAGTTGTATTTCATCATGGCCAGTATTTTATAATATATTTAGTGTCACAGTAATGAGTAATTTTTTTTTAAAATATCAATTTATTGTCATTCCACTTCTGTTTATGATTTTGATTTGGCCTGGTTACAAGATTTTTGTACAAATTTTTTATTGGGTTAAATGATAATTTTTTTGCACATATTCTAAAAATGATGTTGGCTAGAGAAACCAATGTATACTTCTTACAAGAAATTCAGTGAATATCAAAATGAAGCTTAAATCCTATTGGGTCCATTTAAAATGTTTAGGATTGCTGCTGGAATCATTCATGAACAGTAAGTAGTAATTTTGATAAAATTTTTTGGGGGGAACATTTTTTTTTATTCAGAAATATTAATAATAATATATATATCACCAATGATAGCATTTAGTAATGCTAAAGGGGGTGATATTTGATGCAAGTGTTTTTATTTAGAGCCAATATACACTTTATTCTATATTCACCCCATTCATACAAATATATATATATATGAGAGTAAACTGGACAAGTAATCATATGGTATAAATGTCAGAATATCCAGAGCTATGTGAAATGAATATGACTTTGACCTTTCAATAGTGAGTACAAATTGTCTTTATCTTTCTTTAACTCACACCCACACTGACTGTTGGGTCCTTTTTATCCTCTACATAAGCTTTTCAGACACATAAAACATTATTCTTTCAGATACAATATATAGGGTAATTTGGGTTTTATAGAAATTTAAAAAATTAAAATAGGTGACCTACATATTTCTTTATATAATGCTATATGTATTTCTTTATATAATGCCATTTAAATCTATTAGCATCCTATTTTCAATACTCCAGCTATCAGAATTTGAACTGCTACACGTGCCAGCGCCACAATCGTTATAATCTCTCCCATGAGTAATACCAAGAAAACTATCATCAAAACCACTTTCACGAAGAAATAATTCAAATAAATTAGTTTTTTGTTTTTGCAAGGCTAACATCTTATTCCAACAAGTTAGTTTTAACTTTTTAAAAAAAATCTGAAAATTTCAGCTCAATTCAAAATTCTATTTTTAAAAAATGAATATGAAATATTTACCTATCCAATTTTGAGAATCGGACATTCGGCCATCAAACAAATCATGATTTTTTTTATTACCAAATTTTGGTGATTTCACAACAAAAAAAAAAACACCAGCTATTTTTTGAAGAAAACCCAACCAGTTGCCATATTTTTATGATCGGAAATTCAAAACTAGTTGCAACGCACATCATATTAATATTATAACTTTATTATTTATTTATTATAAATAATAATATAATATAATTTATATTATATTATTAAATTCTTTAAATTTAGCTCGCAACAATTAGTGTAATTTTATATCTTTTCCTCACAAAAGCAAAGCCCAGGGCTTTGTAACTAATAAAAACTATTTTTAAAAAATAAATTGATATAAATAACAAGGTATGGGAAAATCCCTATCATATCAAAAACGGAAGGATAGTGATCTTCGTCAACAGGGAGTAAATCAAATTTATTAGTTATCCCCCCTTTAAATACATTTCTGATTTGCAATTATAATATTAATTTTAGTACAGGCCGATTATATCAAAAACTACATCACAGAATCAGCTACAACGGCGGTTATAATATTTTGTGGGTTAAATTACATCATCCATCCTGAACACTTGACAATACTTACTCAAAAACTTTTACAAACTGGTAGACAGAGAGTAAAGCACCCATCCAGGTAGCATGATTATCAGAATTTATGTATAATGCCATCTTTTCAGCCACATTTGGCCAGCGACTAGGGAAATCATTTTTTATGATATGGCTAAGGCAGACACAAAGCTGAACTCTGTGGATAAAAAAATCGTATTGTTAAATTTCATGGTTTGAAATTCCAGATGAAAGATTTCTTCGCCTTATAGTGGAAAATGTGAATCTCAACAAATATGTTAATGACTAAAAATTGTTTCAAATGCTAGGCCTGCAAGCTTTTTTTTTACTTACTCGGGTTAAAATAAACTATGATCTCTCATATTGTGGCTTTGTTTACATCAAAGTGAGCACAGAATTAGAAATTACATAAAGATTGGTAATATTTATTTTAAATGTAAATAAATTAACTTTTATAATTATTTTCATGCAGAAGGGTTAGATCTCTCTAATAAAAAATAAGAGATTGAACAATCGATGAAGAAATGAACAAAGATCACATCAATCAACAGTGAAGGAGAGAAAAAAACAGCTTTACCGAGTCCATAACCTTTCATGTAAATATCAGTGGTATGGCAACATCCACCTCAAAGTCAAATCAATTATATGTAGGTGGCAACAATATTCTGTTTATGAATCACAGCGAATTTTTAATCCCTTTATAAATTGCATCATTATTTGAGTTTGACTAATTACTAATTGTTTTTATGTTATACCAGGGTGACCAACCAGTGTCTGCATGTGGCAAAAGGGGTTAATTACCCTCCCCCAACCAGATTTACCAAAAATGAACTCTTTTTTTTCTTCATTCAAATTGTGCTTTATTTTCAATCATATTACAAACCAACAGTATAAATATAAGAACAATGTTTCTTTTTTTGCAACTCTTGATTTTAAATTTATTATGTTCCAAATAACATTTATTCAAAATAGTTTCTATTTCATTTAACTCATTCTAGTTCTTTTTTTCAAATAATCCATCACGTTTTTATTTATTTAAAATTAAAACCAAAGTCAGTTATTTCTAAAGCTTCACTAGTATCCAAAAAAAAGTATACAAATGCAAACCTGACAGGTTCTGGAGCATGAATGATAGCTTCAATAATGTTCTCTCTGATGGGCTGTCTATCCTGTTCATGAATGTTAAAGGGAATGCTGTCCGTCACGTGTTCTGGTTCACGTTCCATCCAGTATTGAGTCAACATGTTCTTCAAATAGATAACACCTATAATAAAACACACACAAAATAAAATCAATTTTGTCTTTTACCATAAAATTTGCATATGGTACATCCCACATCTTAAGCAGCACAAGGATCTAAAATAAAAATGAATATGATTTTGTGTTTCAAAAATACCTGCTTGTCGAACTGGCATATCTACTTGGTCTGTCATCACAACTTGGAGAAGAACAGGAGCAAAGCCTATGATCTTGTGAACCTTTGGAAAAAGTTATTACTCTATAGTTCATCCTATTAGATCAATTTAATGTCCTAACTATAGGCTTATATAATTAATGGGCCATCTTTGTAAATTAGCAATTAACCCTTTTCTAGGAACAAAGGGCCAAAAACATCTTTACTACCTAACGGGCAAAATGTCAAAAAGCGTCCATGACAACTAAAGGTTGTAACGACGAGATCTCAGATACTTTGCCAGACTTCCCATTATTTAGTCGATAGCTTTGATAGGTTGTGCGCTAGTCACAATTTTTTCTTTAAAGTTGATCATATTTTTTTTTTAGTTTTCAGGGTTTTATGCTAAGTTTTTCACAATTCTTCTAGTGGTAGCGGAGATTATGCTGGGTTCAATTTAAATTAAAATTACATGGAAATTGACTATGAAACTGAGCTAGATATTTCATATCAGCGTAAGGAGTGTACACTACACTACACACTTCTTGGCAGTGTTTTCATAAAAAGTGTATAGATGACTATTAAAAGTGATAAGGTGTATTTTGTTAATATTTGTGTTAATGCAGACCAGTTTACTCTCCTACAATGTACGATTTTGAGGTGTGTATACATTATTTATACACTGTTAGTTTATTATTTTACTATTATGTTTTTATGATATTGTAAAATTTTAAGAGTTTGAGGGTAAAAAGATCTGTTAATGTGTGGATTACTGGCATCATTGGACTTGGACTGTTCATTCCACAGCAGTGAGTAATTTGTAAGTATAATAATAAATTTTATAAATCTGCATTTATTTTCCTTTATTTTTTTATTTCACTAAAAATTTGTTCAACAACACCTTAGCTTTGATGTTCTTACTAACATAACCTAGATCTTACTAAAAACAGGAAAATGGTTGCCAGTTCAGAGTTTAAGACAGGAAAAACGTGCGCCCTGTTGGAAAGTGTAAAAGTGGGTTGTTGTTTTTTTTTTTAATGAACGTGATGTCAGCCATATTTAGAATTCTTTATATTTACTTATAAAACAACAATATTAATACTAACATCGGTTAGCTGTTGCTCTGCTTGTTCTCGTTGGTTGGGATCCAGAGTGGCCCGAAGGACGTCAACAAGTTTTCCAACTTCCATTGTGATTAAAATGCGAAATTATCACAGCAAAAAGGAGGAATTTCTGCTGTTGGCTGTCCTCGTGTAGCGCCAAAAGGAAAGGAACCTGTTTTTCACCCTTGACGGTTACTCATTGTCGTAAAAGAACTACGTAAGTCGTAAAATTTGAAACAATTTTATACGTTGGGTGTTTTTTTTTAGACTTTTAAAACTCATATAATTGTGAAGGTTGTTAATCATAAGTAAGTCTATATTCGTTTTATTTCTCAATTTAAGTAAAGAGTCTAAGTCACATGTGTCAAACTCAAGGCCCGCGGGCCACATGCAGCCCGCCGTACAATTATATCAGACCCGCGAGGTCTTGACCGTAGTACAATTATATCCAAGTCAACACTATGTTGTTTTCCAATGCAAACTTAGGTGAAAAACTTAGCTTACTTCGCGCCGAGTTCACACGGCGTCTAGTGACTTTGAAGCACAGAAATAGTATTAACCCATTTTTCATAGACATGGAAACTGCACCTGTAAATTTGTAGATGGAGCTAATAGAGCTGCAATGTAATGGGACACTAAAGGCAAAGTACGACATATTTGGGCCTGCACAGTTCACTTGTTTCATTCCTGAAGATATGCCCCAGCTTCTCCTACATGCTGCTCGAACTTTGAGCATGTTGGGTAGCACATATATGTGTGAGCAGCTGTTTTCTGTGATGAATATTAACAAAACATCACACAGGAGTCGTCTCACTGATCAACACGTGCAGTCCGTCTTGAGAATCTCAATGACACAGATCGTTACTCCCAACATAAACGAGCTTACTATTTTTTGTAGCCAAGAAAATGTGTATGCTAATGATTTTTAATTGTAAAAACTTGTTTCTGTTTTCATTTATATAAATGTGTGGAGTTTTTTTTTTATAATATTAATTTTCCGCTTATTGAATGTTTATCCTTTTCGGCCAGCAACCTTACATGTCATTTGAGTTTTGGCCTGCCGAGCGATTGAGTTTGACCCCTGGTCTAAGTTATATTAAAATATTTTTTTATCTTTTGCATTAAATGAAAAACGATCTTCATCTATATAGAAGGAAGGGCAAAGTGCCAATGACAAATGTCCGAATTTTAGTTACTGTATTTGTTTACACGTGATTAATAGTGATTAATAGTAAAAGTTTACAAAGAAGATCCGATGAATGCTTGCATTTGCATGCATGTGCCAATCTAGGATTTATTTTGGGAGGGGCGATAAATGTATATTATATTACGGTGTCACGTCACCGGGATCATCTCCATTTCTGAGTGCTGATCTCTAATCAATGAAGAGGGGTAAAATATCAAAAGCAGAGCTGAACATTTTAAACTGTGTCCTAAATTGGCCTTCATCCATCAACGATGAAGCAATAAATAGTCTCCTGCAGGTACCAATCAATCAAGAAATGGACCCCCCCCCCTTACTTTAACCAACACCTAACAAGCTATTTGTCTTCACTCGAGTGGTAAAGCTCCAAGTGATGACTTGATCTCAGCTGAAATGTACAAAGAAGGGGGCATAGCTACAGCCAAAAGGCTTCCCCACTTGTTCGTACTTATGTGACAACAAGGGACGATTCCACAGGATTTCAAGGAAGAATTTTACTTTTTACCTGTACAAACGTAAAGGGAACTGTCAATCTTGCGAGAACCATCGTGGCATATCACTACGTTTGGTTGGAGGCAAGATACTTGATAGAATATTGCTAAACGGTCTTAACATTCGTCTTGAGAAGCGTCTCCTGTCAGAAACTCAATGTGGTTTCCGTAAAGAGCGCGGAACTATTTATATGGTGTTGGCGGCCAGTCAGCTACAGGAAAAATGCAGGGAACAAAATGTTGACCTCTTCTCCACCTTTATGGACCCGCCCAAGGCTTTCGACACTATTAGTAGAGTGATTTTTTGGGAGATTTTGGCCAAATATGGATGCCCCAGAAATTTCATTTTAATGGCACGGCAAATCCAGAATGGCGCTAATCACTTTTCAGCCTATTGTATTCCTCCATGCTGACTGATGCCTTCAGAGAGGGCAATGTTGGAATTGGTCTTAGATACCGAACTGATGGGAAAATGCCAAAAGTCTTGGCAGACATCATCAGAGATTTTCTGTATGCCGACGATTGCGCCCTAAACGATGAAAACGAAACCGATATCTAGCGCACATTTATTAATTTCACCAATGCTTGCACCCACATTGGTCTTACCACTAACACAATAGTCTAAGGTTCTTTACCAACCAACTCAAATTACCTTTGTTGAGCCCAACCTTTAAGTATATGGCTGGGTTACCTCTGTACTTGACAGTGCTTTCTTAAGGCATGGGCCCAGTATGGGCACTGGCCCAGGGCCCGTCGCTTGTGGAGGGCCCTACGTTTCTAGGAGACTCTCTCTTACAGAGGCATCATGATTTACATCAGTGATTCTTAACCTGGGTTCGATCGAACCCCAGAGGTTCGGTGAGTCAGTCTCAGGGGTTCGGCGGAGGTAAAAAAAAATCAGGAAAATAATTCATATTTTATTGTTCCTATTAAGAAGGGTTCGGTGAATGCGCATGTGAAACTGGTGGGGTTCAATACCTCCAAAAAGGTTAAGAACCACTGCTTTACATATTTTTAATGAATATTTAACGATTTTTACAATTTAATTAGATTTAAAATTTTCAATTTCCCAATTTTAACCCACGATATATATCAGCACATTTCAAAATTAATATTATAAATGCGAATCAAAGTTGGACAATTTTTTACAACTTTTAAGGGGAAATAACTCTCGTCAACAAGTTTTACAATTCCCCCAGATATGAATCCAAAAAAAAAAAAAAAAAATATGTAAGAATCAGCTCGCATTACAATGTAAAATTAATATTATAAATGCGAATCAAAGTTGGACAATTTTTTACAACTTTTAAGGGAAAAAAACACTCGTCAAAAAGTTTTAAAATTCCCCCAGATATGAATCCAAAAAAAAAAAAAAAAAAATATGTAAGAATCAGCTCGCATTACAATGAGACAAAAACGTTTGAACTGGCTTCACTTATGTGCTGGAAAATTACATCCTTAAGAACATTGACTTTAAACCAATAATAAAACAATTCTCTGCAAGAATTACGTATACGATTATGTTGATTTATATTAAATAAGTTATTCTATCTATCTGTCTATAAAGATAATTTATCATTCTCTGTAATTTATAGTTAATTTCTGATAATGTTTTAAAACTATTATTGATTTGGAATGATTTTGTTTTTCTGTTTTTTTTTTGTGTTTTTTTGGATCAATAAATTGAATTCATTGAAATTTAACTTTATTGAGCGTTTATTTTATTTTACATTTTTATTTCTCTTGGTGAATTGGTGGGGAACAGGAACTGTTTGCCCCCGCCCCACTGTTTGAGCATGTTCTGTTGCTAGGGGCCCCAGGGCATTGCTGTGCCCAGGGCCTCCTATGTTGATAAGACGATCCTGCTTGGAGATGTTCCATCAATCCCCGGCACTTACTGCAAAAGAACATTTCGTGCCAGAATCGGCCTTATCTCCTATCTGCGCACCCACAGCCAAACTCATAATTAGCACATACGATAATTAAGGTGGCCATTGTCAATTTCGAATGACGAACGATACATATATGGATAATAATGAATAAGCTGCTTCCCGCTCAACAGAACATCCCCCCCCCTCACTTTTTTTTTCCCACAAGAACCCAAAAGAAAATCAAAGTGACTTAACAGATTTAGACCAAGGGTGTCGAAATGCTTGTCGCAATTAGTTTTTGCTGACGCTGACTTCCATATTCTGTAACCATGTGTTTTTAGCCACAAAGAAGTAGTTGTTATAATTGCATTTGGCTTTTTCAAAAAAAGTCTCTGATTACACTAGTCTACTACATTCAACTGTCTGTTTTGTTTTTCACCGAGGAAGACTTAATTAGTTTGTTTCGTTGTTTTTGTCGTCGCCCCCCCCCCAACCCCCAGCTGTCACATACTTTCAGCTTTTATATTTTCTGTGATCCCTGCATGTCATCAAAAGACGCAAATCAAGTACCTCCAATGCTCACTATTACGCACCGCACGTCCAATATGTGAGCTGTTTTGTTTACCGGATTGGCTTCTTATTATTTTCTTCATCGTAGACCAGGGGTCACCAAGCTTTTTTTAATCGTGGGCCGGATAACGGAAGAAATGACCGAGTGGGGGTGGGGAGGGGGAGATAGTTATTCTGTACAATACTTGCAAGCCAGAACGAAAGCTCCTGGAAAAAAGTCGAAAAACTAATTTTAGATATATATATATTCTTACGTACTTTTAACTTTCTCTTGTGATGTGTTGGTACAGGAAATCAACGCTTTGATGATACATCTAATTCACCTTTATGTTCATCTGGTTCTGGTAATGTTTCGTTGCTGCATCCATGTACTGGCATTTTTGCAACGGTTGGGGGTACGATGCTGCTATTCTAACAGCTCCTAGCTAATGCCAGGGCAGCCTTGAAGCTTTCGACTGATGTCGAGTTCACAGTGGCATCGTTCAGGTTGTTCCATGCTATTATTGTGCGTGGGAAGAAAGATTGTTGATACTGCACTGTATTGCACTGGGGCACTTTGAAACATTTGCTATTGTTTTTGGTGTAATTGTTAATTGGAATGTCAGTGGTGAAGTCCGTGTTCAGTGAGCGTTTTGCTCTGATCAGTCTACCCGGCTTCTATGGGGTGAGGTACGTGCCTGCTGGAATGGCCGGCACCAGTCCCATGATCACTTTATAAAAGAAAGTCAGGCGGAGTCCCTCTCGTCTGCCTTTAAGGGGAGGGATGTCAAATCTTTTTAAGAGGCCAGTGACGAAGCCAGGTTTGGTGGATTTGTAGTCACGAGCGAAAACGAATCTGCGTTTCGTTGAATTCGCTCCATCGTGTCCACGTCTTGCTTTAAGGTGTGGGTTCCAGATGATCGCACCATATTTCAGTAGTGGACGGACGAGTGCGAGATAGGCATTCCGTTTGAAGGAAGTTGGGCAGAGTTCTTCCTAGGGTAGAATTGGCTTTTTTTAAAAAAAAAAAAAAATTATATGGGGTGACCATTTTAGGTTATTGGAGAAGAGAATTCCAAGATATGGACTACTGGATACTTGTTTCAGGACTGTCTCGTTTAGTGAGTAAATATCTTCGCTGTGACCTGACCGAACGCCTCTAGTTCGGCGAGTACACCCCTGAAGAAATTTGGAGGTGTCACACGGATCTTACCTCTGCGTGGTGTGGAAGACTAGTAGGGAGGTGACTCCTGAAGCTAAAAGATCCAAGCAAAACGCATGACTTCCCACGCAACAGAAGTTGCGCGCTAACATGATTACGTGTCGCCGATAATGGATATGAGGCTTGGGGTTTTTTTTTTTTTTAAACCCTTGCTGAAGATTAAAAACATGTGGCCTTGAGAAAACCCCTCCTAGGCGACCGTTTTGTCCCGACACAGTCCCGATCGAACTACTCCCCGAACGGTGGGGTGAGGTAACGCAACACCTTCCCCGGAGAGGAAGCAAAGCCGTTCTGACCCACGTCCACACAACTCCCAGGAACGGTGGGAGAAAGTTAAGCTCGAGATTACTCCCGGAGAGGATGTAAAGCCGTGCCACACCAAGGAACATACGGCTCCCTGGACGGTGGGGGAGGCAACGCAACACCATCCCCGGAGAGGAAGCAAAGCCGTTCCAACCCAACGTCCAGACCGCAATACTCATTGGGCAAGGGGGGTTGTGACGCAAAACTGTCCCCGCAAACTGCCCAACACTCCTTTTACTCGAGACCGCGTTGCATGGCCGGTGTCCCCAGGGACTACTAGGCCATGTTTCATGGCCGAGGTCCTAAGAGATAGACTCTCGACCTCCTTAGAGTATTGAGCTTTATTAGTTATTAGTGAGTAAATAAGAGTTGATGGTTTTTTTCTTTGTTGAAATGTGAAGAGACTGGGAAAAGTTTACATATGAAATTAATCAAATGCTCTCCTACTAATGTTTCTCAATTTCCCTATATGTCTTCTTTTTTATTTCTTATATTTTATATTTCCCTAAATATTTGTGTCCGTTAAGATTCTGGACCTTATTTTTTTCTTTACATTACCAATATATATATATATATATNNNATATATTCTTTCACTTCCTGTAATCTTGCTTTTGTAAAATCCCACTTCCGGCAAAAACAAATCAGATCACTAAAGGCTAAAGTCGTTTTTTTTACTGTGCTGTGTTTCTTGATGTATTTTCATTTGTCCGGTGTGCCGAAGAAGGCTCTAAGCCGAAACATTCTCGTTATCGGACCAGGTCACAGTCACAGCTGGTAACGCTGAAAAAGGAAATCTTATCTTCTTCAATAATTCTTTTTAAAAAAATGCCCGGGTCCAAGGCCAAGAGTTCTGGGAAAGTTTTAACTTTACCACTGACGATTTCGGATTTAAACTTTGAGGAGGACGCGAAAAAAATCTTAGAACATATTCGTCCTAATTGGAAAGGAACGGAAATTAATTTCGAAGTGAGTTTTACTTTATTTTAATTAGCCTCAGCCTAATAAATAATCAGTAAATTATTAGCTGTCGACCCGAGGTTTCCCATCATGGCCGCCATCTTGGTTGACACAACAAATGAAGTCACGTGAAGTGTCAACCAAGATGGCGTTAAAAAATTAGTGCAAAACACGTTATGAATCGACTGGGGAGGGGAGAGTGGGGGGCGGGGGGTGTACCTAGCAAAACCATGGACCTACGCCTGCGTACACCGGGGGGGGGTGGGTGTACCTAGCAAAACCATGGACCTTGGCCTGCGTACACCGCGGGGGTGTACCTAAAAAAACCATGGACCTTGGCCTGCGTACACCGCGGGGGTGTACCTAGCAAAACCATGGACCTAGGCCTGCGTACACCGTGGCGGTGTACCTAGGAAAGCCATGGACTTAGGGCTTGCTACACCGCAGCAAAAATGTACCATTGGCCTGGTTTTAAGATATGCCAGTTAGAAAAGATCTTGTGTGGTCCACAACTGTGGTCTTGTGGTATGGTAGACGCTAGGCGATGTTATATTTTGTGATCAATTCCCAGTTGGTGATTGAGTTTTTATATCTTTTTCTCAATTTTAATTAAAAATATTTTATATTTAAATTATTATATTCATTTGCAACAGTAGTTTCATGAGAATTTTAACAATATTTTGTAGCAATTTATTAAACATATTATATTCAGATCATTAATCAGTTTCAACAAGTTGTGCCGGCCTTTGACTTTGAAAATACCGGTAATAAGACATTAGAAAACAAACTGAAAGCGCATGTATAGTGTATGTAACATGTATAAAGGAACCATTTTGAATACTAAGCGATATTTTATTGTATTTCAACATTCATCATGCAGTTGAAAATTTACATTTTATTTTCACGAACATCCAAAGAAAATACCAGTAGGCCTATATCATATGAATATTAATATACATGGTCGTATTTCAATCATCTTGCTTTCACTATGCATTGGCAAAATTTACACACGATATCTAGGGTTCATTCACAGCGCTCATTCTCACAGCAAATCTTTTGAAAACACCATGATTTTAGAAACGTACGTTGCGGTAGCAAACTGTATAGCAAAGCGATAGGTCTGCGTTTACCCTGTTCATAACGGAATTTGTTTCCAGAATGGCATGTCTTGTGCTATTCTCAGGGTAAAACACGACGTTGTCTCACAGAAATCATTGCACAATGTGCTTCGGACAAGATTTGCACTATTTCAAAATTTTGTTGTTGTTTTTTGTTAAGAAATCGATCCGTGCCAGGGGGTGGGGGTGAGTTATGGGCAGAGGCTCAACCAAAATGGGGGGCCCACACAAATCACGGCTCTGGATAAGGATAAGGGTTGTCTACAAAGGGATGTTTGCACAACAAACTTACCTTTTGCATACCCTCCCCCAACCCGAGGGGGAGGGAGGGTGTTTGCTGATATCCACCTGCATTTTTTAGTAATGTGTAATGCTAATGTAAAACTAAATCAATGATATTTAATTATTGTTAAAAGCTTTAAAAAATCACTGCAGTGTTTCGTATTTATCATCATACCGTTGTTTTGTGTTGACAATCGCTTAATATCACAATGACAATGCCTTGGACAACTTTAACTTCACGATCAATGTTTGTGATTCTCTGCCTGTAATTTATTTGTAGCGTAATTATATCTTGAAGTTAATAAAATAGATACACTGGCTACCCATTCATTTTTACACCATGCCCCGAGGGATGACATACAATGTTATTATAATGCATTATAATGCCCCCCCCCCCCAACCCTAAAAGAAAACAAAAACAAACTAGTGGGAGGGGGAATTGATTTCAAATTAGATAACCTTTTTAGGCCTATTAAGATTCACAATCATAGGATAAAACTTACAATAATTAATAAATATATTTGTATATATGGGGGAAAATAAAGTGCTCAACTTTAAAAATAAATCATGGTTTAGCATACACCCCCAACCCCCCTCCTTTCCAATAAATACTAAGAAATGCTTTTCTCTTTACAAGTACTTTGCCACAAAAGTGTGGAACTTACCCAATATCTTCCTCCCAAGGTATTAAATTATTTTTAAATAAATAGTTTTCACTTTAACAAGAGTATAACATTAAATCTACAAGTACTGGTTAGGCCTAAAAGTTAAAGACTCGCAAATACCAAGGTTTTGCTGCTTTAAATCGCTGCGGTGTACGCAGGCCACAACCAAAGATTTAGCTAGGTACACCCTGAATTTTGGGGGAAAATAATTTTAGGTTTAGATCGGGAAGAGTTAAAGTTAAAGCCGTTATCAGCAACCTGTGACTCCAGGCCAGTACCTGCATTTTGAAAGAATAGATGCAGCTCTTTGTTTTACTAATCTGTAATCATTATAACAATGACATTCAAACAAGCCACTGCTGCCCCCGGCTACTATTATAGTTCCTTCACAAATTTTATTTATCAAAATGGCTCCTCACTCAAAATAGGTTGCATACATATGACTTCTACTTATACCCACTGACCCAGCAAAGTATAAAGTAGCCCAAAAGTGTATTGGGTTAATAGGATGGGAGCAAACTATGTCAAGTTGTCTTTTAAGTCATTAGCCCAACCGGAGCATAGCATAAGGTTATTACTACTTACTAAGTCCTTATAATTAAAAGGTTATTACTTTGATCCACATATTCTACTTGATTAATTTTTTTCCTTTCTCAGGTTTTCACTGATGGTATCACCAACAAGCTGATGGGATGCCATGCAGGAAATGATAGGAATGATGTGGTTTTAGTGCGGATCAACGGAATTGGTTCAGACATCATTATTAACAGAGACGAAGAACAGTTAACATTCCAATGCCTTAGTGAGGCCAACTGTGCTCCGCCTATTTATTGTGTTTTTGATAATGGCATGGCTTATGGGTATTTCCCTGGAAAGACGTTAGATAAACAAACTGTTAGAGAACCCAATATCCAAAAGTGAGGTGATTTTTAATTTAATGAAATAAAATTTATTTTATGTCATTTTGTTGAGATTTAACTCTTTGACAGTACCATGCCTTTACAAAATCTGATTTTCGTTAAATTCTGACTCTGGAACATATCGGTGGGCTACACAATAAGTTAATGAGATAGAACTTTGGAGTTTAATATACTATACTTGAAGAATGAATGAAAACAATACTGCTCCAAAAAAGAAAAAAATCACAAACTATTCCTTAAATGGGTTAAATAACAATTTTTATTATTTTTTTCATTCTGTTTTAAAATTTACTTAGACTTTAAATTTTGAAATTTCAATCCATCTCATCAATTCCATGCTGGAGGTAATATAATATCATAAATAACTTTTTTTTCTGTGCAAAATTATAGGCTTATAGCAGAAGAGCTTGTTCGATTGCACAGTGTCAGAGGCCCAGGTGGGCCAGTACCATCACAGTTTAACCACAGAGTTCTAACTTGGCTAGATGCGGTTCCAACACATTTTAAAGATCCCTCTATTCAGGAGGTGTAAGTGGTTCTGATTTATTTTAATTAATCATTAAAATCTCTGGTTTATTATATGCACTAACATTAAGCTTCCCTTCTCAAAACAAAACAACTTAAATTATAACAATGGTTTAAAAAATATATTAGAGACTATAAAAAAGAAATTTCTGTGTCAGTCTGTTATTAACTATCATCTGAAGAACACCTTTTTTAACACCCCCAATACAGTTTTCTTTGCAAATGTGTCATTGTAGTCTTGACTTAAAAGATGTTTTGAAAACTGTAAGAAGACTAAAAAAAAAAATCAACAAATATTATTGATTTAAATTTAAAATACTTTCCAACTTCCTATGTGTTACTAGTATATACCTTAACTTTTTATTTTTGGGGTTAATCATTTATAAAATATAATTCAACACATTTTTATAAACAGATTTGAAAAAAAAATTCCAACACACCAAGACTTAAAGACGGAATTGAAGGAAATCACGAAAGCATTAGATGCTTTGGACATGAAAAGTGTTTTCAGCCATAACGACCTTTTACTAAAAAATATAATCTACGATGACCGTGAAGGTAAACAGAAGATATTTAAAAACAAATCTAATGTTTACATTTGAAGTTATTCAAACAACTTTGCACACCCAAATGACTTGAAGTTGAAGGAAAATCTAGTTTTAAAATTAGTACTGCAGTAACAAAAGCTGGGTTTAATAAAAAAAAAACTATTAAAATCATACCAATCATGAAATTAAATGCATTAATATTGTTTCGGCAGGCAAAATCCACTTCATTGACTATGAATATGCTTTTTACAATTATGAAGCATTTGATATTGGAGATCATTTTGCAGAATATGCAGGTAATTTTCATATTTGATGTACTGAAACACATTCATAATTACTGTTAATTAATGTTCTTCAAACAACATGACTAGGTATACAATTTCAACGGTCTTAGAAACATGAACCTTTAAGTTTAAGAATGTTCACTTTGATAATACCTAAGAAAGAAATGTCCTTAAAGTTAAAAATACATGGGTAGTTATTTGTTAAACTTAAAATATTGCAACCCTTCACAAAGCTTTTTTTAACTGTTTTTATATGTTATCTGTTTTTATATGATAAAATTTTAATAAAAATATCAGGCATGGTGGACGTTGACTATGACTTGTATCCCAGGAAAGATGAACAGTTACCATGGCTGCGTCATTATCTAGAAACAAAGGCGGCAAGAGAAGGAAGATCACCTGACAGTGTTCAGGATAGGGATGTTGAAATTTTGTACATTCAGACTAACAAGTGTGCATGTGTAAGTATTGCATCACTACTTGAAAGTCTCACCTTGTTACATTTGGCTTGCTATGATTTTAACTTATTATTTTTTATAATTTACTTACATACTTTACTACAGCAACATAACTCCTCTAAGTCAAATGATCACCTCACTAAATTAATAATAATAAATGAATGGATATGAGCCTGCAATGAGGCTTAAAGTTGCATATAATTCAACATTCTTGTTGCATCAGTTTAGTAATAATGGTGATGTGCTAATTCTTAGAAAATTAATAATCATAATAAAGGATTAATTAATTTAATTTTAATATGATCTTAAACTAAACATACATTTTAAAAAAAAACCCTGATCAAAATTCATAGTAAAGTTTATTTTGAGATTGATGACTTACATCATGTACACTGTAAGTTCTGTAAGTGTAAGATTTAGAAGCATTGTAAGAAATTTATTTTTATATTAAAGAGTGTTGTGAAGAAAGTAAATTTTAGCCAAAATTTTACAGATGTTTTATTAAGTTTTATTGATTTGCAGTTGTGTATTAAAACTCAAGCTGTGAATTTATTTCTTGAGCCAATCACCACTTTAAATGTGGCCACTTTGGGTGACATGAAACTGCTTTAATATTCAAAGACAGGTTAATTTATCGAATTGATCACTTTCATTTGTAGGCAGCTCATTTCTTATGGGGTGTTTGGTCTCTCATTCAAGCTCAACATTCCATCATTGACTTCGACTATGTTGGGTAAGTCGTGAAATTTTATCAGTTGACCCATCAATCAAATGCAAGTAAAAATATTGGTTTTTAAAATGCTATATTGATAATTTCAGTACTGTCTTTGCCAATGTGAATTTATTCATATTCTTTGGGCATGGTTAGCTTTATTCAACACCTATTGAATGAGACACGTTTTTTAAAGGCTCTGGCAGAATGGTCTATGTTTTGTGATATCTTCTTCTTCTATATCTTAAGGGCCCACGATCAATTTTTTGATCATTTTGGCTCCTATGCATGTAGATGGGATTTGCGATGTTTCTGCTACTGGTGTTGATGAGGAAATCATGCACTAGGGGTTTGAAGGCTTGAGGCAATAGACACAAATGTGTCTAGTGTTGTCGCCTCAACCGTTCCTTTTGAAAGATTGTTCCAGTCCCTGATTGTCTTGGGGAGGAATGAGCAGCTCCTATACTGGCTTTCAGATTGTTTCAGATTTTGCATCAGTTTTGCAATGATTTTTTTTTTTTTTAAATGGAGTTTTAAAAAAAAATGAGTTCACTAATAAAGCTCTGTCATGGTACTTGATTAATAGACTTTTACAAAACCTTGTTTTCTTAAAATTTAAGAAATTGATTTATTTAAATTTTTGTTAAAAATCATTTATTATTTTTTGCAGCTATGCAAGCACTCGTTTCAAAGAATATTTCAGAAGAAAGGAAGAGTTTTTCACACTTGACATTGGACATATATAAATAATTACAATTTTTTGGTATGGTAGCCAATGATCATTTTAAGAAATATTTAACTTACAGTTACATTGTTAACAGATTCATGTTTCTTATTTTTATTTTTTTGGTGACTGGATTATTTGCTTTTCGCTTAAATGAGCAGTAACTTTTAACAGAAATTTTGTTTGTTTACAAAATGGGTTAATCACTATTTACAAACAGATTTTATTTTTACTATTTTTTTGTGCAAACTAATATGGTTTTTTATATAAATTTGTCTTTATTTTTACAGTAAAATGCAGACGTGCCAAATTATTGTCATTTGATAGAATTTTTTCTTATCTTAATCATGGCAGTAACTCAAACTTGACCAATTTTCAGAATCATAAATGTTGCGTGAGAAGAGGGCACAGTTGTTACCTGAGCACTCTCCTTTTAGATACATGTATTTGAATATGGTAAAAAAAACATGTTACATTATCTCTATTATGCCTGAATTATTCACTGCTATCACTAAATTAATAATAGTAATGCTTACCTAGTGATCTTCAAAATCACCATATGTATTACTTTAATACACCCACCTCCACCCTCTGATGTAATATTTATACACTCAATTACAATACTCTAACCTTGTTAAGTGATATTAATATGAGCCATCTTGGCTTAAGTTACTCTGGATGTCAATAATATTAATTTTTTTAGGAATATTTCTATACTAATTAGTGTGAATTTAAACACCTTTATGCTCTTCTATCAAATATAGATCTATATTTAGTGAGAAAGGTGGGTAGCAAGAGAGTGGCTAAAATATACATTTGTATGCCCTGTTTGATTGAGAATGATGTGATGTATGTGTAGTTGGTTTTTATTTCTATTACTTTGGGTAACTATCAAACACTTTTCATTTATATTATCATTTAACTGTTAAGAATAGTTTTATTGTGTCAAGTATTGAGAGTTACTTCTATCTGTCCATTTGATATGGTCATGTGGCTCTTGTATGATAGGGGGGCTGTGCTGGGTAAGAAAACTTTATAGGTTTCAGGGCTAACAATCAACTTAAAGGCCTAATATTTGTACTGAAGTCGAGGAAGATTAAGCAACCCATAAAAACATAGTTTTTCACATGAATCTTTAAAAAAATGTAAAATGGAACAATGAGGGATGGGACTGAAAATTCGACAAAACATGCATACAAGAAACCCATTTTAATTAATCCCAATTGGTGCTCCAACCCCCAAGGCTCGCAACCGCAAATTTTTTCCATGCCCCTGAGCTATATATTAATTTTCTAATGACCCACCCGCTTTTAAACCACAGATTTATGTCACCAACTATTTCAGAAAAACGCATTTGCTGTGTTTTTAAAAAAAAAGAATCTCACTTAACGCAGTTAATTGGGAATTTTCCTTCATGGTCCTCTTGAAAAACAAATTTTTTGGGGGTTGTGACTGAATATTTGAAAGAATGTGGTCATTTGCAACGAGTAGATATGCAAAGTTTCAGCTGGATAGGTTGACTGGAAATGGGTCAGTTAGCCTTCCGAATATTTTGCCAGCCTGCCATCCACTAATCATAGCAAAGTTAACATAAGTTATTTAAAAAGAACAATAGATAATACATTTTCTAATATATCTCCCCCTTTAGAACTCAATTCTCTCTACACCTTTTGGCTTGAACAGAAAATGTGTCTTCAAGCTAGGCATATCAAGTTTTTTGTGTAAATTTTTAAACAAAAGCTAAATATAAATATTTTTATAATGAAACATTGATTCCATTATTGACAGTAACTTAACAAAGACCAGAAACAAATTTAACTTTAATAAAAATCTTTATCTTTTTTTATAAACACAACAAAACAGAATGAAATATATACACTCTTGTGCTTGGAAAAAATATCTACAGCATCATAAAAAAACTATCTACATCCATCCTATTTACAGAATAGTGAAGATATTACAAAGGATATTTGTTGCTTTCTGTTTAGTGCTATTTAATGAGTGATAAAAATATTTGCTCAATCTCTGAAGTAGAAACTGTTAAACCTAATTAAGTTTAAAAGTATTTAAAACGTCTAGTAAATTTTTTTTTGTGAGTTGCGCCTATCGAAATGCAAAAACTTTTCATTAGTTCATTTCAATTAAACTGACTAGCAGCAAATGATATTTGATATATCAAGCAGTTATGGTAATGCAGTGGGTTAAAGAACTTAAATTCACAGTTGAGAAAGTACAAATCACACATATTAAAGGAACTTAAAATGTAACATGTTCAGCATAAAGTAGCTCATTGGAGGCACTTTTATTATTTCATCAACAGTACTTCAATTAAATTAGGCATCAACTTCAGCTCTAAATATGCATCAAAATGGGAGGGATAAAAGGTTGTAAAATTATTAATAAAATGAAAGGAGACTGCAGCCATAACTCTAAATTAAAACTCATACTTATATAATAAGAAATCTTTTAATTTATCAATTAGAAGCTACTCAACTTTAATCCAACTGTAACACTCTTAGTTACTATTAAGGGCAAAAATTTAAGAAATAAGATTAAAACTAGCATCTGCTTATACACCCAACAAATTTATAATTTATAGGCAATATGAAGAGAGTAGTGGAAAAAGTACATACTTTATATTTTCCAAAATGAGTTCAGACAATCCTTCAATTTTCTTACTCCCTCAAGCATTATTCCTGTAAATATTGAATGATCCACTAGCAGACCTGGTTACCCTGGAACTCCCATAATATACTCATTTATTTAAATTTAAAGGGAAAAGATGGATACAACTATGGTTATAGATCTGATATTCAGAAATCTAATAGTATCTCTATTAAAAAAAATACAGAACATGTCATGAATACATTTTTAGAGGAAATCCCTTTGAAATTAATATATAAATCATATTTAAAAAAATAAAACTTGAATATTAATTATGTAGGACTTAAGAAATGAAACCGAAAATACAAATTATTGTAATGAAAGTAAAATTATTTTAACTTGTATCAAAGTGACATCACCTGAGCTCATCCGAATCTCATTTGTATGATATATAAAAATAATAACACACAAGTGGAGCAGCTAACAACTGTTGGAAAAAAGTTATCCTCTTTTAACACATGTAAAAACATTGTTTTATTTTTAAAATCGTTGGTCTTGGGTGTTATTTTAAATTGTTTTAAGAAAGCCTCTCAAATGGCTTCATTTTGAAGTGCTTGAAAACCATCATGTTGAGCAAGGCTTCTTAAGCTGTTCAGGAAGTTCAATAAAGCCAAATCTTTTAGGTGGCCAAAGCTGAAACATGGACAAAATATTTATGCATGAGATAAATACGTACATGCTTTAAAGGAGAAAAAACACTTTTTCCATCAGTTTAAACATCTCCTATTCATTCCCCCCCCTTTATTTTTTGCCATCCATATAGAGCTTGATTAAAAAAGATTTCAAACATAATAACCAAGGTATTTTTTTCCCCTTTATTTGCTAAAATGTTAGAAGTTAAGAGTCCTTTGTTATCTTCGACTTTGATTGATCTGTATTATTTATCTGTCATAAATTTTAATTACGAGATAATGTGAATGTTTTTAACATTAGTTAATTTTATCAAGAAATGCCAGCAATGCAACTGGATAAGCTTTAATAAATTATATTTGGCCATGATTGAAAGTTAAAGAATTTTAAATAAATTTACTCTTTAACTCTAAATTAATTTTGAGACACTTTTCTGGTACATCTTTGTTATTTTTATAATTTATTTATTTTGGAAATGTGGCCAATGTTAAGTCACCTTCACAAGCCAGATATGTGATGTACAATGCTATCTATCAACTTATTTGATCTGAGTGATTCTGAGTTGACACAATTTAATGATTGCTCTTTTTATACCCAGAGGATTTTTCTGTGGGGGAAACAGCCAGATTAACTTTTATTTTATAAAAACTTACCATTTAACCATTTACTTCAATCTTGTTGGTTCTAAGTGACCAAGAGAGTTAAACGTTGATTGAAAATTCATTGCAGAATTATATTCAGATCATAAATCTGGGTCAATGATTAAAAACTTACATTGAATTCAACAATATCCCCTACAGTAATTTTGGTATGATGAAATAACTTACCCGCAAGGTAACTTTGCTAATTAGCAATCCATATGGAATAGGCCCATAAGTACGTGAATCAATGCTGTAATCCTTGTTATCCCCTTCCAACCAGATTTGGCCTTTGTCAACCTAAGGTACATGAAATTTAAGTTAATTAAAGAAAGGTTAATTTAAAACAAAAACTAAGACACTCGTAGAGCCTATTTTTACACAATTTTCATTTAAAAATCAGAAAATTTAATTTATTTGATGAAGTTAGTCTTTTTGATGGTTTTCTTTCAAACAAAAAAAATCTGAAATAACTTACATATTCTTCAAATCCTTTCTCACCATTGAAAACACAATCCCCTTCCATTGCTACAAGACGCTTGCAAATAATGGCTCTGGGGTTTTTTGGAGAGCGGCAAAAAACTACATCTCCCCTACAATTAAGGAAATCCTGATTATTTTATATAAATAATTTAAGCTGAGGTTAAGTTTCCCTTTTTTTAGTATGTTACAGTATGTGGTCTTATGTTTATATGTTAAAAGTAATGAATGGGAATGTTGAGACTCCTAAATAAATGCTACTTTTCTTAAATACTTCAGAATATCTTCATAGGACATTCATTATAGTATAGGCACAGATATATGCTCCTAAATAGCAAACTTCATTGACAAAATAATTCATTTGCTCTATTACATGACATTTGTGAACTATTTAAATTTAAGGCTAGTGTTACCTGAAAATATTCATGCATCTTTGTTTTTTTTAAAATATTTTCTTGATTTTGCAAAGCTATTACTTTTTTTACAGTCTTTTCAACTGAAATTTTTTTAAACAGACTTTTAAAAATATGTCTCATGTCTACTTACTTTTGTAAATACTGATGATTAACATAAAATGGAGATATAAGCACCAAGTCACCATGCTGTATCACAGGTTCCATTGAAACATCTTCACACTGGAACATTTTTAAAATCAAAAGTGGGTACATTTCATTTCAACATAAATAGCAGAATCAATTCTATAAAGAGTTTATAAAGTAACTTTTTATAAAAGGATAATCATTCATGTGGCAAAAAAAAAATGAATCATTTTAGCCTAAAAGGTAGTGGATTCAAGAGAATACATTTTAATTCAAGATGAAAGTTCTATATCAATATTCCACATGGGTTTTATATTGCTAAGGTGGGTCATTTAAAAAAGAACCTATCTGGTTAGTGACTGAATAGGAAGCCATGGTTAAAATATTTCTAATAATAGCAAAATAAATTATTATATTTGAGTAGACTAATCTGCCTATACAGAAACAAGTCAATGGAAAAAAAATACTTTTTTTAAAGTAAAACATTTCATTGCATTCCTTCAAATGCAATATCTCCTTTAATGCCTATAATATATATCTCTTCTATAATGCGGTGAGATCTCCACTAAAACTGATTAAAACTAAACAACCAGCTTTGGCTGCTTTCTAAAAAAGACAAACTGATGCTAAACATTCACCTCTTTCTCCCATTTTAAAGCTCAAAATCATGTTACTGTATTGACAAAGACACTGCAAGTGCCATATTCGTGTTAAACCATATCTCACATCCATTCAAAGAAGTCCCACCAAGAAAAACAACAAACACACCACACACAACCAAACAAACCCCCCCCCCCCCCCCCCCCCCCCACCCCAAAAAAAAAAAAAAAAGAAGCCAGTNCATGTTACCAGTAAATGACAGCTTTTAAATTATATATTAAAACCTTTCAATAATTTTTCTATGAAATGTCTAGTCCCTTCTCTTATTTCAAATATTTACAAAGAGAATAAAAGATTACCTTCCCTAGACCACAAATAAATCTTAGTGTGCAATAACAAGTACTAACTCCAGTAACCATAAAAACAACTGTTTTCCGAAGAGCTGAAAATGCTGAAGCCATAGCAATTTTAACTGGATCAGCCCTGGCTGCAGTTGTGATGCACTATTTTCACTGCATTTTTCTGAAAGGAGAAAGAGTTGTAAAACGATTTCCAATAATATTATTTAAAAAGAAGACTTTGCGTGAGTGACTTTTTGTAGAATCAGGGAAAAAACTGATTAAAAATTAGATATTTGTATGTCTCTAACTCTAAACTAAAAAAAAAATTGGGTCACAGACTTCACAAGCTCTGAATGAAAGATCTAATTTAACAAAATATAGTGAAAATGGTCTTAAATTATTAATGAAATTCTTATTCATTTTGCTTGCATTTACCACTTTTTAAAAAATGTAATGAAAAATCAGTTTTTATTCAAAAGTGATATATTGAAAACATGGGGAAGGCTGAGGCTGTACTCTGTGCCTACCGATGAAGAGACAGTGAACTTCATCAGTTATATTTTAATGACATATTTCAGTGTTTCCCAAATGCCATGCTGCAAAAAAATTATTGAAAATCCCCCAAGCTAGGTTTTTTTGTTTTTTAAAAAAAAATAAATTAACACGTTAAATCAAAATAACTGAGAAGCTGTTACAAATTACCATTAATGAATTATAGAAACAAATAGTTTGGGGCAAGGAGATAAGTCATTAGTATTAGTAATGGCATCATAATTAATAAGCATTATTATAATATATGTTACTTAGACATTTTAAGGTTTAAGACTTAAGATTATATTATTAAGAAATTAAGATATAGCTGGGTACTGCAGACTGATTTGTGTATTCTGACTCTTTTGAGGTTACTAAGTGTTATGGCGAAAAAGACAAAAGGCTGATCCATCTGCTCAATAATAAATGCCTTGATATTGGCTGGCTGATCTCCATACCATATAATCACATTTCTTGCTCATCTCGCCATTTTAATGGAGGATACTATTGACAGTTTACGGTGTTCTGTCATTTTATATCAATTTTTTTTTATCTAGTGACCCCCTATAAATGCTTTAGAAATATGTGACCTTGAGATATGCCAAGGTAAAGAGGCATAAGCAGCGCCAGGTGAACACTTCAGGCAATTTTTCACATTGAACCTCATTCAAATGTATGTTTCTATTTGTATTTTTAGGATTTATTAAGGCTTCAACAATCATACCTGGTAAATTTTAACAGCATTCTGCACGTAAGGCATGCTTATACTTATTCTAAGTGTATAAAAAAATGTGCATGCATAAATTATGCAAATCCCTATATCTAATACTAATTTGCATGATAAATGTTGAGATTTCAGTTTGATTCCTAAAGATCAAATTAGTTCATTTAATTGCCATCAATATAATAATAATATGTTATATAATATATAGTTTTATTTTTGTAAAAGTAAAGTAATTAGTTTATTTTTTATAATTTATTTTGCAAAGTAAGTGCAGGGCTTGTGATTGTGAAGAGGGCTCAGTCTTCTTAGCACTGACAGTCCAAAAAAGCTGTGTCCCACAAGGGTTAAGAAGAATGATTCATTAAATTAAAACATTAGTCATTTGACTTAAACTTACTTTAAGTTTAAGTCAAGTAACCCACAAGGCCACAGTAAGTTAATTTTTAAAGTGAAAGTATAAACACAGTCATAATATAGACCAGGGGTCTCCAAACTACGTCCCGCAGCCGGATCTGGCCCGCGGGACCATTACTTCCAGCCTGCTGATGGTACTTGAATGTGCTTGATAAAACGTATGTTTATCCACAAAGAAGGAAAACATGTTGAACTTTACAGCTGCAAACCTAATGTCGAGTTTCTGAAACGGAAGAACTTTGCTGCTGGTATGGCATCAGTGTTTGGAACAACTTATGTCTCTGAGCAAGCATTTTCAATAATGAAGTATGAGAAGCCAAGATATCGAACGAGAGTGACTTAAAAACATTTGAAAACAATTCTCTTGATTGCATGCAGCAATTCGAAACTAAACATTGATGAAATCTTGAAAGCCTAACGGCAGTTTCAAAAATTTTTGCTGCTTAGTTTGTGATATTTGAATATGTGCTCACTAGGTCTGATGTAACCATCTTTTTCTTACACTTACGTAGCCTTATTTGATAACATTTTTTAGAAAATAAATATCTTGGTTGTCTTTGTAAGTTTTTTTTTTTTTGTATATTGCACGCCACTCACCCATGCTAAACATAAAACACTAAGTTTAGTTTTCGCCTTTATTCCCCAGAGCTTGCAAGTATTGTTTACTTTACAGAATGATTATCTGGCCCACGCTTTTCATTTTTTACGTTATTCTGCCTGCTGTGAAAAAAGTTTGGAGACCCCCTGATATAGACTGTGTACTGTGTAGCATTGGCATTAGTGATAGTGTATTTGTAGTCAAATCATGACAATAACTGCAATCACAGTATTTGGTTTCCTGTAATTGTACATTAGTATAAATTACTATAAACTACAAATAAGGCAGTTGCTCAGTCTAGTTAGACCCAGCAGCCCAGCAGTAGTGTGCTGAGCAACACTGGCTCACTCAGAGTCAGACTCACTGGCTCTAATTTATTTTCTACTCTACTTTCTTATTTAAGGAAATATAGCCAAAATAACCCATGGTGTAATATTTTCCACGAATAAATTAGAAGCTATTCGGTCGTAGTAATATCTTTTTAAAAAAATACCGTTTGCAAAGTGATAACATTTGATTTTTTATGGGCTTCATGCCGGTGACATTGAATTTCTGTATTTAACGTTAAAAAAGAGTTTGTTTTCGGCGACAACAATATTTGATCGTTAGGTTTTTACTTTCATTTCGTTTCAAATTATCGTTTATTATTACCTTATCTAAACAAAGTATTGGGCTATCCTATATATAAAAAGTTCAATTCAATACATGAAATCAATTTTTTTTATTTACTATTTCAAAATGAATACAACCTGCACTTTCGCTAAATCCGAGGAATAATAAAAGCAACAAAAAATTAGATAATTTAAAAAATCACAACAAAAACAACAAAAAACCTTTATTTTGAAATATATATTAAACAAAAAACCTTTATTTTGAAATATATATTAAAAATTATTTTTTAAAGAAATAAATACTTAACTGTTCCAGTTAACTGTTACTGTTACTGCATGACATTTTTGCCACCCATGCCTATAGCACATGATGATCAATTATCATTTTTCATTGATAATATGATAACAATGATAATCACACTTTTCACATTCATCACTCACCACAATTAAAATTAATGGCAATGAGCTTAATACAAATTTTAAACAGGTTTTAGTTAGTAAATCAAAATTATTCAACGTTAAAATCAAACTACTTTTTTTTTTTCAGTTTAAATGCGAATGAATATTCAAAAGTGAAATTAAACAATCCCTAAAAACAAAGTTTTTCATATAAATCCTCCATAAAATGTAATATCGAGCAATGGAGGATTGAGGGTGTATGCCTGAAAATTTGACAAAACAGGCATACAAGAAATGCTCTTGATAAGAACCCCAATTAGTGCCCCCTCCCCTTTCCCCGCGCTCGCAACCGCACATTTGTTTACGCCCCAGGAACCATATTTACATTCTATTGACCCACCCGCTTTTACACCGCAGATTTAGTTCACAAATAAAGAAAAACAAAAGAAAATATTACGCGCAAAACGCATTTGCGATTTATATTTAATCGGAAGGTATTTCCTTCATCTTCCCTTTAAAAAACTATTTTTTGGAGGTTGGGGCTGAAAATATGATAGAATATGTTGTTAAATAGTCTATGTGCCAAGTTTCTGCTCGATCGGTTGATGGTAAGAGGGTCAGTTAGCCGTCCAAAGATTTTGCCAGCCAGCCACGAACAAAAGCGAAGCTAATATAAAGGATTTTTTTAAAAGTGTCCCCAGAAGAATTTATATGACAGAGCTCCGAAACCAGTGTGCCGCGAGATTATGCTATTTTTCTAAGTGTGCCACGGTAAAATTCTTTCACGTGGATTAGCAACTCATGAAGACGATACAAATTTGTGGAAACATGGGACCATGATCGGCTAATTTTTAATTAGCCGATCGTGCCAAATGCTTGAATTAAAATAGCGTATCGTTATTTAACGCTGGTGATAGCGGTAAAAAAAATATTTGTTCTTACTGTTATCGGTGCCAGTTTTTCAACAACACACTCACACAAAAAGAATATATTATTTTTTAATGTAATAGAAGACAGTACACTGTCAAAGATGGTCACCTTCGTGCCGACAGGTCGAATCAAACTAGTATTATTTCATGTCTGTGTGGTTATGAATTTTTATTAGTCTTGTTTATCCAGAAGCCAAATTATCGTCATATTTACAAGGGCGAGTAGTGCGACTGTACTGTGCATGAGTTTGACCAATTATAAATTAACGAATGCATCACCATCATGGACAGATTGTTACCGCGGGTTTTATTTAATGTTCTAAAGTACCTAAGGGGTTGTTCGCAAATTACGTCACGCTCGGGGGGCAAAGGGGGGGGGTCGAAAATTTGTGACGGGGGGAAGGGGAGGGGGGTCTAATCATGAGTTTGACCAATTATAAATTAACGAATGCATCACCATCATGGACAGATTGTTACCGCGGGTTTTATTTAATGTTCTAAAGTACCTAAGGGGTTGTTCGCAAATTACGTCACGCTCGGGGGCAAAGGGGGGGGGGTCGAAAATTTGTGACGGGGGGAAGGGGAGGGGGGTCTAAAGAGGTCATTTTTTCGTGACGTAATTTGCAAACGACCCTAAGATCTTTACCGTGTTATATTCATCGCCAACATCTGGTGGATAAAACTAAAATTTTATTGGCTTTCACAATTTGAGTATGCATGTCGCTGTTAGAGGCTGTTGACTTTGTGTTTCACTCAGTGCTGACCCCAAAGTCATGGCCTGCCCCCCTCCCCCTGTCACAAACTGTCACACTTTCTTACACCTCCTCCCCCCCTGGAGCGTGACGTACTTTATGGACGGCCCCATGCTAGTGGACTGCAGTTCAATACCCAGAAAAAGCCCAGACAAGCAAAAACAATACCAGCACCCCTGGTAGATGGGACTTGTTAACCTTGGATGGCAACTCATCTAAGAGAAGGCAAACTATGAAATCAAATCCGGACATGGAGTTCTGCAGGCGGTATGACATTGATACAATGGCATTTGTGACAATTCCGTGAGTTTTTAATCATATTCTGCTTGGAAGAAACCTCTTGTTGCTTTCTCACCACTTTATACCTGGAAGGTGGATTTAGCAGGTAGTTTGATATGCTTGATATACTTTAAATATCTTAATTTTATGTGTATTCTGTATGCATTGTGTTTTTCGTAAATTAGGGGTGGTAAAATCAAGAACTGACCTGGGCGTCACAAACTCTAGTTACTCCCCTGGGTTTTAGTGCGGTCATCCAGCTTTGCACAAAGCTAAGAACTAGCATACAAATATGAATATGTATGAATTTAAATATAAAATAGAGACCGTGAAAAATGCTTATAATGGTAAGACGGAAAGGGGAAGTCGCTCTGTGTGATTTAATGGTCCCATGAGGGCTTTTGCCGTAAAAAGTTTGAACAAGACTTTTATAGACAAATAAAAGTATGTGGAGAGGGGAGTCATCTATACAAGAGAGTCACTGAATTTTGATAATGTAAAGCAATATAAAAACAATTGTTAATCATACACCCCAATGACAAAAACTTGAAAATGTTTTTTTTAAAAATCCCAACATGCTTTACTGCAATTAAATTTTATGTGCCTATATTATTAATTATCAGAAACAAATAAAACTTAAATTTATATCAGTTGTAGCAAGCTGTCATAATAATAATGGTAATAAGTAGGAGTTACTGCAATCCGGTTTTAAAGTTACATAGCTTTCAGTACTTTGTCACTGAAGAAGGCTTCTTGTCGATACGTTTGTTGTTTTGTTGCGTCATTTTTCAGGTTTTCCCCTTCTTTGTTGACTTGATTCATGGCTACAAAAATGTTAGAGAAAAATCAATTAAGTTTCAAACTTGACACTTAGCTACCGACGAGAGAGGGTTGGACTGCGATAAAGCTTTTAAAAGCATAATGGAATGTGTACATTAACGTGTGGTCTTTCATGTGATAGCCTACTGACAAAGGCATTGGCCTAAACGTTTAAAAGTGTACTTTGTCTTATAGGGCCTACTTGGAGCTTACACATACTGTTTTATGTACACAACTTTTTTGTGTCTGATTAACCTACCAATGAAAAGGGGAACTCTTTGTTTTTTTCAGTTGTAATTACTATTAGATGTTTTAAAAAAACACATACTAACATTCCAGGCTCGAATATGGAATGTTCCACGTGGAACCGAAAGTAGTTAAAGATTTACGTTTCCTGCCACGCAGCAGACTCCGTACAGTTTCTCGCTTTGGTTGGTTGCTTGAACTTATAGGCCACGTTGGCATCGGTGCCATTGGATCTTTAACGTCACATGGTGTGGTAAAAATACTTTCATTGGCTGGTGCTCTTTTGTTGATAAGATAGAGAAAAAAAAATTACATTGAAATATCTCAGCTAACTACGTGGAGTTTGATTGCGACAGTTGAACATACTGACCTAAACTACGACTACGGATTTATTGATTTACCAATTGTCGAGAACTGTGTTGTTAAGAAATCAATAAACTTTGTTTCACAAATCAGTGCCCTGCTAAGAAAAAAAAAGAAGTAAGTAGTCGGAAAATTACATAGTCCATATTAATATTACATGGATTTGGATCATCATAGCACTTGACTTGGTGACTTAGTGCCTCACTTTGTCTTCTATATTAATATTAATTAATACTTATTAATAATAATAATATATTCAATATTCTTAATATTAAAAATTAAAAAGTAGGCCTTAGTTAAGTTAGGCGGCCGCTCAGGCCTACTTATTTCACAAATAAGTGCTACTTAGTTAACTTAGTAGTAGTAGTTGTCTTTATTATAAATTTATAAGACCAATGCCAATACTAATATTAAATAGTAATTTGTTTAATATTAATAACTAATAATAAATAAAGTGTAAGTCTTTGAATTTGAGTAGTAGATAGTAGATAAGTTTACTCCCTGACTTAGTCACTTTTAATTATTCTTAGTATTGATAGTTATTAGGAAGTTGTTTTACTTAAATTTTTAGTGTTTAAATTTTTAGACTCAATTATTTAGACCCTTCTTATTCTTAATCTCTTAGGTACACCCCTTCTTAATCTTAGCGCTAGGGGCTCTCCATAAATATAAATGATGTCACACAAATTTTGTTGATTTTACACACAACTCCCCCATCACAATGTTTTGAATTTGAAGGGGATGCTGGCTGCAAAAATGTTAAGAATCTCCCTGACAGAAAACATAAGATCACTCCCACCCCAACTACCAACCATTGATCGTTCCATCTCAATTTACATTGTAGGCCAAATTCTATGACTCTCCATATTTTGACTTAAGTTCCCACAACTGTCAATGTCACTACACCCTGATTCTGCTACTCCATGGTGGCCTGTAACTTGATCATAGGCCTATTTTGGGGCCATGCATTAGTTTATTAGTCTTAGTTGGGGCACTTATCCAGCTGATTTAAAAATTCACATTAATCACATTCAAAATGAATGGATGAATCTAATTGAATCATTAACAGAGTAGTAGGCCTACAGTTGAATACAGTACAGTATAAGATAATTAGCCAATAATTACTAGCTGTAGAGTTGTAGTACATACAGTGCTGCCTAACTACCTGTGGTTTGTGCTCTGGGCCCAGGCCCAGGCCAAAAAAAAATTTCTAATGAATACATTTTTTGGTCATGTAGGCCTATGTGTATGATGTAGACTTAAACAGGTCATTCATAAATGATGACACACATACTGTGTGTGTGTGTGGGGGGTGTCATGACTTTGTTAGATGTTTTGCGGGTGTCTCAAATTTTGGACGATTTGGGTTGGGGGGGGGGGGGAGGGAGCAATATCAGGCAAAACCATATCTGGGAATTTTATACTGTGTGTGTGTGTGGGGGGTGTCATGACTTTGTTAGATGTTTTGCGGGTGTCTCAAATTTTGGACGATTTGGGTTGGGGGGGGGGAGGGAGCAATATCAGGCAAAACCATATCTGGGAATTTGATCGAAAGAAATTTTGTCGGCGAAAAATTGTTTGACAGAAATTTGGTCGAACGGAAATTTGATGAATCTTTTTTTCAGTTCACATGTTAAAATTTTGCGTCAAATTTTAAAAAAAAACGCATTATTTTGTTTTACTATATAGTATAGTGTGTTCATAAAGAAATTTGAATGTGTGCACTGATAAAAAGATTCAACCAAATTTCCGTTCCATCAAATTTCTATCGACAATAATTTCTTTCAGTCAAATTTCCGGTAACCAGGCAAAACAGCATGATATTTATGGATGGGTCCTAAGTTTGGGATGGTATAATTATTTTATAATACCAGTGCCGTCATCTTCATATTTCACCCTTTTAACTGCTGAGTCATAATCGTTGGGCCTCAAATGGTCCTGTTTGAAAAGCTCTTTTAAATAAAAGAATAGCTGAAACATATATGAAATTAAACTTTTTAATGATCCTTAGTTTTAAAAATACTTTTGACATGAATAGATTTAAATTTTATAATATAACAAGCGTGAATTGAAATAAATAACATAATAATTTATTTTTATATAACAGAATGCAAAAATCAAGCCAGGTCATGAAGCTGTACATCTTTGTTCTTGTACTTTTTACTCTGACCACTGTTTACTGCAGTGCCATTCCTACCACTGAGAAAAAGCAAAGAGTTCAGGAAAAAGTAAGTTTCCACTTCAGGTAGTAAAAACTCTTTACTTTAACTGCAAACAAGTTTTATAAAAGTAATTTCATTCACAGGTCTTAATTTTGCAACACTATAACTTAAAAAGATTTAATGAGAAATGTACAAATCTCTAAAAATGTATAATATACGCTGTAAATATTAATGGTACCATTTACTCATATGGTTCTCATTATTTTTGTTTATACAGAAACAGATGTACATGATAGTAAATAAAAAAATATTAGTATTATTTCAAGGAGAGAAATCTTAGACTATGGATAAATTTGAGTAATGTTTAGGGATTTCACTATAGTTCATTTTGTTTATTACATAATTTAATACCAGTGTGTGACTAATGCAATCTGCTCTGCAGACTCTAAGTAACGAGGAGCATGAGCTTCATGGTGAACACAACAATGACTATGACCATGATGCTTTTCTTGGTAAGGAGGAGGCTGAGACTTTTGATCAGCTGTCACCAGAGGAAAGCAAAAACCGTCTAGCGTAAGTGAAAGAAAGTTGGTGCATTTTTATTTAAATTTGATAATCTTGGCTGATAAAATTTAGCTATTCTGAAAAGTATATACATTGTGAAGGTTTTTTTAAATTCAATCGTTCCTAATCTGATCATTATACCCAATCATTATACCCGTTTAAATTAAATGAGTTTTATTGGTTTGTATACTAAGTAAAAGATATTTCTTTTATTGTACTGAAGTGTTTCTCACCTTTTTTGCCCCAAACCCCCCATATGAGCACCAAAAAAGGATTCATGACCTACCCCAATGGAGAGCTAAAAAATATAAGAAGGCATTTAGAAATAAAAGAAAAAAAGGTCAAATTTCTTTCTAATTTTCTATTTTTTTAAACAGTTCTTGACTTTTGTCATGCAATGCTAAAATGCGAATTTACTGATTTTAATATAGAGAAATGTTTATCGACATGTAAAAATTTGACATAATAAACATGCAGCCCCCAAATAGCTTTACATTTGCAATGTGGCCCTCCGCACAAAAAGTTTGACCACCCCTGCTCTATGCTGTTTTCAGGAAGACTGAGTTTCAATTTTGATGCCTATTTTGGCCTGCAGATTCAAGGATATATGATTAAGTTAAAATAAGTTACATATTATTGTTTTGCAATAAATGGCAAACAAAACAGTGGTTAACTGTAAAAAGGATCCTGTCTAACATTGTTTTTAATACATTTCTATTGCAGAGGCTTATTTTTCTTCATAATCTTCAGAATATTCCCATGTTTGGGTGCCCCCTAGAAATACTCTTTCATCCCTTCCCCCCTCCCAGGCACCATTTATGCTATTACTCATCTTAACACACTTTTTATCTTGTCAAACATAATTATACAGTTTACTTACGGTGTAACTTGTTTTTTTAAATTTCTTTACTAATAGGATCATTGTGGACAAAATTGATAAAAATAAGGATGGTGAAGTGACAGAAGCAGAGCTGAAAGAGTGGATCCAGTATGTGCAGAGAAGATATATTGTCACAGACACAGATCGTATGTGGAGAGACCATGAGCCCGATGAGGAGAACACCCTCAGTTGGGAATCTTATCAGAAGCGTACTTTCGGATACAGTGACGGTAATAGGAATTTAATTACTTTGGCCAGAATTAGGGATCACTATCAGTTGTAAACTCTTGTCTCAAAAGTTAAGGTCCTTAGGCTGTGATACCCCCAAAAAAGCTATATATGTCATGTGGTTATATAAATAGTAGACAAGTAGACATGCTACTGATACTAAGAATTGGTGACATAGGTATCACTTGGTTGCCTTGAAGTAGATCCGTTAGCTGTCTTTATCATAGTGCACCAATGTTCCTTTATTCTGTTGAGCATTTTTTGTATACAAAGGTACTCAACATATTTTTTTATTATATCAAAAGTACTTTGGTATTTCAGAACCCACAGAAGGCTCCCCAACCTTTGAATACAAAGACATGATTCAAAGAGATAAAAGGAGATGGCAGCAAGCAGATAAAAATGGAGATGGTAAAATGAGCAAAGAAGAATTCCAGGACTTCCTTCATCCTGAGGAGGCTGAGCACATGAGGAGCATAGTTGTAGATGTGAGTACTGGGAAGCAAGCTAGAGCGTCTTACAAAGAGAATAAGTGAAACATTCTGATAAAATCTCAGCTAAAGATATAATCGCATGAATGACAAGTGATATAACAAATTCTTGTATTATGTACCTGTAGTCACTGAAGATTGTGATCATTCATTGTCAATTAGAAAATTTTGAGTAATTGAATGAAATGAAGCATATAAGAAATAATGGAGAGGTGAGTTTCATACAGAGCTAATGCAGAGGAGAGCTATTGAAGGGAGAACTGTAAGCTTCATCATTTGAATTTGAATGATGATGGTGAAGTCCATTAGTTTCCTTATTTTAGCATACAATATCATTGTTCAGTTGTAAAATGTACATATCTATTATTTAATGTCACATGTGCATTCGTTATTGAGTCATTAATTTCACTTTCTTTTCCTTAGGAAACTCTGGAAGATATTGACAAAGATGGAGATGGTTACATCAGCCTGCAGGAGTATATTGGTAAGAGTTTTAGTTACTTGGATATAACAATTTCCACTACTGGTCTACATATAGCCCTTTTTATACTCTTCCTGACTCATAATTTAGATTGATAGCAATTTAAGTTGACATAGGTATAAATATACACACTATCATTCTTTAGGATAAGGAAATGATCATGGGCGCCACAGCTCAGGTCTGACACACAACTAAATCTGAACTTAATAATTAATTAGAACAGATGAAACTCTCAGAGAATGTTACGAAGATATAATTATGTGAGTCCTCTAGTTTTTTAATGATATTTCTTAGCATCCAACTACCTAAGTCCCTGACCCATGTCTGAAAGACTTGAGGGCCCCCATCTCCCCAAAAGAAGTCCTGTCCGCATCTATGATCATGGTTCTATTCGATATGCAGCAAATTTAACATCAACTGGTGTTTTGAATTAGAAGATTGGGGACAACAAATGTGTATTTTTCTTTTATTTTAAGTGTTTGGATATATTATCTAAACCAGAATTATGTTCTGTAGATAGGGTTTTTAACTGGTTGAGAGGACAAAATGCTAAAAGCTTGATTGTTGTGTAGATGATATTTGGGGTGATGATGAAGATGAAGAGGATGAAGATGACAAAGAGGGTGAGCCAGAGTGGGTGGTGTCTGAGCGGGAGCAGTTTGCCAACTTCCGTGACAAGGACCACGATGGCAGGCTGGACAAAGCTGAGATTAAAGACTGGATTATCCCAGAGGATTATGACCACAGCACTGCAGAGGCTGCTCACTTGATTCGATCTTCGGATGAAAATCGGGTTTGTTTATTTATGGGCAGGTTTACTGCAGCTACATCCACATACTACTTGAGTATAACTTTTGTAAAGCCACTGTTCAAAATATTGAATATTTTTAAAAGGTACTTGATATTTAACAATTCAATCTAATCCATGCACATCAGATTTTCACCCAACTACATCTCTGAATGTGTAAAATGGTCTCCACATGGCATAAACTGCCTTTGGTTTTCTTGTTAAAGTCAGCTGATCATTTAAATGGTGCTGAGATTTAAAGATGTAGCTTTTACTAAATTGCTGTTTTTAGGAATTCACAAACTGAGGGTCTTTTTGCTGTTTAGATCTTTTACTTGGATCAAACGCCGGCAATAGTTATACTTTTGATTGTGGATGTATATGTAGCATTTTACTGTCTTGTTAATTGTTCTATAGAGCTTTTTCTTCATCTTCTCATACCTCTTTCCCCCTGTCTCTTGCCTGTAGGTGACATGTGGCCTCGTAGTGCTGATGAGGAAGGGCTTGAAGAACCTAGTTGGGTAAAATCAGAGCGCGAGCAATTTGCGAATTACCGTGATAAGAACAAGGACGGTAAAATGGACAAGGCAGAAGTAATGGAGTGGATAATACCTCATGATTACGATCATTCCAAAGCAGAGGCCAGGCACCTGATTTATGAATCTGATGTGGATAAGGTACAAGTTTTTACAGTTCTTGGCATGGCTGTTATTATTACACATCCTTTTCAGCACATTTTACATTCTTGATAATTTTACAAACAAACTTTTAAAAATAGTTTCATAGAAAAGACTAAGGGAGGTCATCTCTGCTTGCTTTATAGCACACAAAATGTATTCTTTTCATTAAGAATATCCTCAAGGCAACATGCGTGTCTGTTTAGTCTTTATCTAAATGTTAAATAATTTTGGTGTTAAGTTATTGTGTTTTGGTCTTTAAATGGAATAAATGCGTTAGTAAAGCTATTTTTAGGTCACTGGAGCCACGTGTCATCTACAGTCAATTTCTTTTTCTCTTGCTGTATCTTGGCTAGTTAAAACTTAAAGTATCTTGGCTAGTTAAAACTTAAAGATAGAAAATACTAAGTAAGGGCAAAAATTAAACAAATTTAGAATCTATTAACATTTGTGGAAGAAAAAAAAAGCTATACCATTTTTCCAACGTTTGTTTTTATGGAATTAATGTTTAACAATGTTATATCTAATAGAAGATTTTTTTCATTACTTATGAATGCATTTTTATTCTTGATTTCATTCAGGATGGCAAACTGTCAAAAGAAGAGATTTTAGATAAATATGACTTATTCGTTGGAAGCCAAGCTACAGACTTTGGTGAAGCCTTAACAAAACACGACGAGTTTTGACCTCTGATGTCCTTTAAATATCTTCAACAACTCTCACATGGTAGCATGCCTTTACTGACCCTTGTACAAGTAACCCAGTTGTTAATATGTGCCAAGAAGTGAATGTCAAACGTTAGTATCATGATATGCGTAGTTGTAGTGCATGAAGATTCTTTTCGATTTTTGAGGATTGAATTTCTGTGGTGTAGAGTTTGCCTATGTTGAACCAGACATCTATATTATGTTACTGCTGCTGTAGTTAATAATGAGCTGCTAGGGATGTAGAACCACCATTTTGTGTACATGATTTGTGGAGTTCAATCTGGTGCTTTCAAGGTGTGCAAATGATGAAATCTTCTCAATTTCTTTTTATTTCATATTAAAGTCTCTTTTAAATTGTCCAGTGTATGCTTTACTCCTGGATGATAATTAACTCGATTTTAATGGTAATGGAGAGTAGGAGGGCTGAACTTGACTAGTGTAATGATTATTAGAGTCATTAAATACATAGAATTAACAGATATAATTTGAAGCACATTAATTAATACTGATTTTTTCCAAGGTGAAACATTTTAATTAATTAATTTTAATATAAGGTGAAGAAATGCTTTTATATAAGTTAAGTAAAGACACTTTTGACTTGTCTATGTTAGTTTTTAAGAGGCTAAAAAATTGTAGTTGGAACATTGAGTTTGCTATTGCTATGTAACAACATCTGGCTATCATTGTTTAACGGTACTGGGATAAAAATGAGAACAGAAGAATATTATAGCCATCCCTAACTAACATGGAAACATTAAGGTCTGGCATTTTAAGCTATGTTATGAAATTAAGAGCAAAAAAGTGTAATGACTAATAAATTAAGCACTCAATATTTTTTTTTTTACCACTGTCAATCGCAGAATAATCTTTAATATTGTGTTCTTATGATCTAAATGAGTTAATGACTCATGCAGTCTTAAGATTTCTGGCTTGAAGAATGTGAACAGTGGCAGATTATTTCTCTTCCATCTGTTTAAAAAAAAAAAGGAATTCACTGTTCCATTCTTGCAAAAGCTCATTCATTTCACAAGATATTTTGTAGTTTTTATTTATATTTCAAGCCCTACTCTGCCCATAGTTTACAAGCGTGTAAAAAGGTGATGAAAATACTCTCCCATGTATAAAGCACCAGTACACTGGTAGTTCTGCTGTGTACATAGCACCAGTATATGGATAGCTCTGCTGTGTACATAGTCCCAGTAAATTGATAGCTCTGTTGTGTACATAACACTAGTACATTGATATTAATAGTTTATTCTTTGTCAGCCCCTTGACAAGAGTCATTGCTTATAAGTAGGACTGAGCTGGCTGCAGATTTTTTACATCCTTCATGATCAGTAGGTCCGAGTGTTACTAAAATTCACACATCTAGTTATAGTTTTCTGTGGAAGCCGTCGACTTTTAAGTTCAGGCGAAAAACAAAGTAATGAAGCACACCAAAAAAAAACAACAACCTAAAATCAGATGTAATGTAATTTTTTTTTTAAATGAAAAGAAACTTCCTAAGTATTAATTAGTTGCTGACATCTAAATTATATTTTTAAAAAACATTTTATGTACTGGTAGTCAAGGGTAGTCAGCGTGTAGTAACAGTAAGAAACCGATCAAATCACTAAATATTTCAATTTTAAAATTGCTTCATTACATAAGTGATTAAATTACATTACTTTATTAAATTCCTTGTCAAAACTTAGAAATAATATGTGCCGGGTGTGTTAGTGCTTGTCATCAATAGGTATCAGGGTACACTGCTCAGCCTTACTTATAAGTCATGTCTCTGTTAATTTTATGCTTTGATAAAACTTAACAAAGTATGATAAGAAAAAACATATTTTGGTTTGTAATATTATAAAACAAGTTTGATTGTAATCTTGTTCTTATCTCTCTTTTTGAACAAATTTGTATAGTAAATAAATAAAAGGCATTACAAATGTGTAGTTATATTTTAATCTAATTTAAGTATTATATAGAGAAATAAATGTAAAATATAATTACTTTTGTATTAAATTTTGAAATGTTTCTTTTTTAAAAAATAATGTAAGCCTACGAAAACATTTTTAAAGCATTATTTACAACATGCTCTCCCCTTTTTTCTCTCATTCTTTTAGCTTTGTTTTAATAGCCAAATTATTATTGGAAAAAGAAAAAAACAAAACGGATAGGGCTAGGTTTTTATTGTAATGAAGTGATCATGTCTTATTTCTAGCAGTGAATTTTAACTCTGCTACACTTAGAAGAACTCAAAGTGCACCCAGCTCATGAACCATTCCAACCATGGCTTTAAACTCAAGTCAGGGCACGGGTGTAATTTAACGAGAAAATGTTTAGTGTAAAGCTGTTCTACAATTGTCCTTTGTAAAAAGAGAAACAAAAAGGCCACCAAAAGAACAGTGAAAACCCTCCTTTTCTTAAAATGTCCAATATGTTCCTTTTTCCCCCCCCCCCCCCATTTTCAATTCTCATAAAATTCTGAAAATTTCAGAACTGGACAATTGATAAAATTTATGTAAATGTGCTGAAGCTTTGGTTTGTCAATGTTAAACAGCATTAGTGAAAGGGCAATTATAATGAAGTCCAGATTTTTATTTTGTTAAACAATAACTAGCTTGTTAAGGGCGTAAATGGCATACACCTAGAAATTGAGGTAACTTTTAAAATGTATTAGCTAGCAGTTTACAATAGATATTTTGTATGCTGTTGTAGTGACTTTTGTACTTGATTTCATATCAGCAATGTGTTGACCTCCTCAGAATATTTTGAATTTTAAACTTTAATTAGTTACACAATTTAGAGGATGGTCCCTGATACGGATGAGTGAGTTACTCCTTTGTCTATAATAAGTCTGCACGTTCAAGGTTTCTTTTGTTAGTTGAAGTTGTTGTAAATATGAACAAGATGATGACTGATTCAGAACTGTAACTAGAAAAATTCCTATCATAGTGGTAGGCCTTAATTTTTTTTGTTGGAAACATTATTTATCTGTTCTATTAATAGTATTATTTTTCCTTAAGGTGACATGTTGCTGGGATGAATGGCTCTTGATTTTTTCCGTTATGGCTATGATGGTGATCTATGCTAGCATATAGAAATCCTACAGCGAACATGGACAGGTTTTTGTGCTCATACTTGTTTCAACAAGTTCCTTCGTTCTACTTAAGTAACATTAGGGTAATTTCATCTTTCAGACCTGTACCTTAAATTAACTCTTTACCATGTGTTCATTGGTTAAATTGGTGCTTTGCATTAGTTCTAATCTTGTGCCAAAAATGTTTCATGCCATATTTCATCCCATACCATTTCAAGTAAGTGCCAGGTGGGATAATTCTTGTGAAGCACAATACCTTAATTAATCATGATTATTTCCCATGTCAAAGCATTGTTAACTGATGAATTTATTTTTATTTTTTTTTAAGCTTATGAGTTTTTCCTCAAGTACTCAAGTACTTGGCAGTGTGTTTGAATTGTGTACTTGCTAGCCATATCATAAATATGTCACAAAAATTATGTCATCAACTAGTCATTTTAAAGCCATTGTTTTTATTAAAAGCTGACATTGTAGTATTTTTTTCATTTTTAAAAATCTTTGTCCATTTTTAGGGGTCAACTTCCAGGTCAAGAGAATGTATAATTTAAAACAAATTTTAAACACCAATTTTATGTTCATCCAGTGCTAATTATATTTTCATAGGATCGTTCAAGTGATAACAAAAATCTCAGCTAATAACATTGAAAGCAATAAATTTTTGTTGGATCTGATTAAAGATAGAAAGAAAGTAACTGGGCCCTTTAAAGCATTAGCCACTTAACTGCCATGAAAGCAATGCCCTGAGTTTACCATGTTGTCTGTATTCATCCATTTGTTTTCAAGCCATATGAACTTGGTGCTTAGGTACTTGCCAACCACAAGTAGCTGCTGTGTTGAATGCACTTCCAACATTATTGTTATTTGATTGACTCAAAGCTTCCTTTTTGTCTGACAGATGAACTGGTACGTTCGTGTTCACCCAGTGACGCAGTCTTTTTTGTTAAAACGCCCATTTTTAATATGAGTAAAGATGACCTGAAGATGCCATTGTTTACAGTCAGTTTGTAAACGAGACTTTTAGAAATGTATTTACAAAAATATGTTTGATTTGTCATCTCTGGAATGAAGAAAGTCAACGCATCAATTTGTGTTATTCCAGATTATTAACATTTGATTCAGGAAACAAATTATTTTAAATCAACCATTCAATCATATCCCATTTGTCATTGTTTTATTTTAAAGACCTCATACAGGTAAAAAACATATGTAAGATCAATCAGTATTGTACGTAGCCAGTTTTGAGATTTCTTTTCAAATGTCATGTTTCTATTTTACCATGTAGAATTTGTTTTCTCTATGTATGTATATTTCTTTGTTATTCAAATAACATGATCAAAATAATGAACTCATTCTCCTACGGGCCGTGGCCATCTCGATGACCACAATGCCCACAGCAGATATTTTGATGGGATGATTTGAGCCAGTATCAATGGCGTGGTCTAGTCAATCTCAGCTTTACTGTATGCCTGGTCATGTTGTATGAAAGTGGGGTTTGGGCAATCATGTCAAGATGGTGCCTGATGTGGTGTGGGCCTGTGGTCTTTGATCTAGCCATTGTGAGCTGTGAAAATCCAAAGAACATTTAACTGTAAAGCAGCTGTTATAACTGAATGACCGACTGACTCACCCTGCAACAGTTGATGATCAGATTTATTCCGTGCCCCTCTGTTGAGGAAATTTTTTCAATACCCCCCCCCCCCCCTCCCCCCACTGTTCATATTCACTTATTATTTGCGTGTGTGTGGGAACTTCTGCATGCTAATACTTTTAATAATTTTCTGTCATGTATTTTTAAGTAAAATTTTTAAAAAGAGATTTTTTACTAGTGGTTCTCACTTGTTTCTGCCGAATAATCACACATGCAAAGTAAAAATTATCCAACTTTTTACATCATATCAGAGATGAGATTTCTGCCTTGCAGTGTAGATGTATTCAGCTGCACAAAATTTGTGGATGACCAGATAAAATGAGTGACTCTCAAACCAACAGAAAACATGATTGGAGAACCACTGTAAAAAAAAATACACCCAATTATCAGTCAAATCCTTTCTGTCCTTGCTGCATTGTCCATACAAGTATGTTCACACACTTTGATAATGGTCATCAATACTTTGGCAAGTAAGATTATTTGAAAGATTAATTTTTTTTTCAAAAAGGATTATAACATGTGTTTGATCAAAATTTCTTACTTTTTTAAAACCATGTACTGAATATCTTTGAATAAACATGATGATGTTTAATACTAATTTTTTTATACAACTGTCTTAGTGTTTGAATTGCAGCTATTGAAGGTGATTTGAAATGTTGATTGATCTTTAGTCCCAGTTAGAGATGGGCAGGTACATCTGTCACAGTTTGTGATGGTGAGGTACATCTGTCACAGTTTGTGATGGGTGAGGTGCATCTGTTACAGTTTGTGATGGTGATGTGCATCTATCACAGTTAGTGATGGTGAGGTGCATCTGTCACATTTTGTGATGGTGAGGTGCATCTGTCACAGTTTGTGATTGTGCAGTGCATCTGTCACAGTTTGTGATGGTGAGGTACATCTGTCACAGTTTGTGATGGTGAGGTGCATCTGTCACAGTTTGTGATGGTGAGGTACCTTTGTCACAGTTTGTGATGGTGAGGTAACCTTTGTCACAATTGTGATTGTGAGGTACAATTTTTACAGTTGTAATGGTGAGCTACCTCGGTCAGTTTGTGATGGTGAGGTACCTTCGTCAGTTTGTGATGGTGAGGTATGTTTGTCACAGTTTGTGATGGTGAGGTGCCTCTATCACTGTTTGTGATGGTGAGATACCTTTAATAGAAGCTTTACCTAAAATATGTTGTTTAACTTTATAAGGCAGATGGAACCATCACTTTAAGTAGCTTTTTAAAACTTCTATGAGGCAGATGGAACCATCACTTTAAGTAGCTTTTTAAAACTTCTATGAGGCAGATGGAACCATCACTTTAAGTACCGGTGGCTTTGTTTAAATTATATAAGGCAGATGGAACCACCACTTTAAGTAGCTTTGTTTAAATTATATGAGGAAGATGGAACCACCACTTTAAGTAGCTTTGCTTAACTTCTATGAGGCATATGGAACCATCACTTTAAGTTGCTTTGTTTAACTTGTTACACCGCGCACTTTGACCTATCATCTTTAGGTAGCTTTGATAAACGGCTGTTGATTGCCATGGCAGCTTAAATCTATTGTCACAGACTAAGGAGGCTTAAGCCTAGGGCCCCTGAAATCGAAGGGTTCTTCAATTTAAGAGGTTTTTTGTATATCAACTTCGCGCCTACAGTCTTTTTTCTTTTTAAATGTTAAAAATACACATTAAAATAGATGCTTGAAGAAATAATCACATGTTAAAAATGATTAAAGTCATTGTGTCCACTCATCTAAAGTTGTTGATGGGGCGACCTCAGAATGATGCACTGCTATACCGAGGGTAACCCCTCCCGAGTCTTGTACTCGCGGGTCTCTCATCATTCCACCGATCTTCCTGGCTAAGGCAGCACACAATGATAGGACATCGCAGGTTTGTTGAGTTGTGGAGCAAACTATATTGGCTTGGCTCCACTCAGGACAAACATTTTTTAGCTCCGTTCTGAGCTCCGCCATTAAAATTTTTTTTATTGAACATAAGGGTTGAAGATTATCGGTAATCTGTATTTTTAAATCCTTTACATTGACTCCACTTGGGGGGGGGGGTTTGGGGGTGACTCGGTGGCAGGCAAAAATCTTCAGACAGCTAATTGACCCACTTCCGTCAAGCTATCGATCTGAAACTTAGCACATAGGCTCGTTGTCGTTCACGAGCTTTCAAAATTTCAACCCCAACCCCCTGAAATAAGTTTCCCCTGTTTTTTAAGGGGAAAACTAATGAAAATTCCCGGTAACTACGCGAAATGAAGTTCTTTAAAAAAAAATAAAAAAATTTGCAAATGCGTTCGGTGCGAGGATATTTATTTTCTTTTGCTTTTCTGAAAAAGTTGGTGAAATAATTCTGCGGCGTAAAAGCTGGCGGGCCATTGGACTATTTACATAGTTCAGGGGCGTGAAAGAAAGTGCCACTGTCAGATAGACTGTTAGATGTTAAGTTATATTTAGCTCTGCACTGTCAGGTAGATATTGACATCTTAAGAAAACATTCCGGGTAATTAAATGTGTATCTTCAGAATAATTGTTACAAGTTATAATTAAAATCTGTAACAAGCGCTATACCTACAATCGTGGGTGCAAGTGAGTGGTAAATAACAAGCGCTATACCTACAATCGTGGGTGCAAGTGAGTGGTAAATAACAAGCGCTATACCTACAATCGTGGGTGCAAGTGAGTGGTAAATAATAAGTGCTATACCTACAATCGTGGGTGCAAGTGAGTGGTAAATAATAAGTGCTATACCTACAATCGTGGGTGCAAGTGAGTGGTAAATAACAAGCGCTATACCTACAATCGTGGGTGCAAGTGAGTGGTAAATAACAAGTGCTAACTAGCGACATGAGACGTTTTTTTAATATAAATTTTTTTTTTTTTTTACTGTTTTAAGTATTTAAAAAATAAATAAATAAAAGTGTGTGTGTAAAAATAAAATTGTATGTGTATGTGGGGTGTGTGTGCGTGTTATTGCAAGGTGCCTCAAAATTAGATTAACCCAGGGGCCTCTCATAAGCTAAATCCGGCTCTGCCTGAACGTCGCGCTGACGCTACCCCCCCCCCCCAACATGGCTGGCCGCGGAAGAAAAGTGAGTTGTCGGTCGTCATCAGGGCAGACAACAATGAAGCTGTCAGTCAGTGGGAGACAATGTAGCTGTCAGTTACCAGAGAACGCAATGCTTTTTATCTTGCAACTCAATATGGGGGGTGGGGGCTGGAATCTATTTTGATAGTATTCAGGGGCACACGCTGTTTGCACTAAGTTAAACAGTTAGTAATGTAAGTTGCACTAGAGTGATATTAAGTTAAACAGTGAGTGCTGTAAGTTGCACTAGAGTGATACTAAGTTAAACAGTGAGTGCTGTAAGTTGCACTAGAGTGATACTAAGTTAAACAGTGAGTGGTGTAAGTTTCACTAGAGTGATACTAAGTTAAACAGTGAGTGGTGTAAGTTGCACTAGAGTGATACTAAGTTAAACAGTGAGTTCTGTAAGTTGCACTAGAGTGATACTAAGTTAAACAGTGAGTGGTGTAAGTTGCACTAGAGTGATACTAAGTTAAACAGTGAGTGGTGTAAGTTTCACTAGAGTGATACTAAGTTAAACAGTGAGTGGTGTAAGTTGCACTAGAGTGATACTAAGTCAAACAGTGAGTGGTGTAAGCCTTCATTGAAACAAGTAAGACAACTGCGCATACGGTCTCGCTCGTCCGTGGAATATCATTTCTTAATCATAGCATTGAGAGCATACGATGACAGAGCCATTCTTAGGAGTTTGAGGGCCCTAAGCATGTAGTGTAGGTTTGGGGCCCCGGAAAGGGGGGGGGTCCGGGGGTGGAGCTCCCTTGAGCTGAGGAGAAAACATCACCCACCACTGCGGTACCTCCATTCTGCCTTCATCAATGTTTCCTCTTTCCCATTTCCACGACCAAGTCCCCGATTTCCTGTCTGCCACCCCCAAAGCCCCCCCCCCCTTTTTTTGCTGCTTCCCTTCCCCTGCCTCCGAAGTCAATTCATAATGATAAATTTCAGGATGAAGAAGGTAACGTGAGTGACATTGATGGCTGCAGTGCCAGTTAAAAAAAAAACGGGGGATCGAGGGCGTCTCNCCCTCGAGCTGAGGAGAAAACACCACTGCGGCACCTCCATTCTCCCTTCATCAATTTTTCCTCTTTCCCATTTCCCCGACCAAGTCCCCGATTTCCTGTCTGCCACCCCCAAAGCCCCCCCCCCTTTTTTTGCTGCTTCCCTTCCCCTGCCTCCGAAGTCAATTCATAATGATAAATTTCAGGATGAAGAAGGTAACGTGAGTGACATTGATGGCTGCAGTGCCAGTTAAAAAAAAAACGGGGGATCGAGGGCGTCTCACTGGGGCCCCTCACGTTCAGGGCCCTACGCGGATGCGTAGTCAGCGTATGCCTAAGAACGGGCCTGACGATGATGATGTCGACGATAAATCAAATATTGGATCCATCCCTTAGATTAACTTCGCTTTTGTTCGTGCGTTTCTGTGTTTTTAATGCAAGAGAATATTCGGACGGCTAACTGACCCACTTCCCGTCAATCTATCGAGCTAAAACTTGGCACATAGACTCGGTGCGGATGACAACACATTATATCTATATCTAATTTTTTAGTGCCACCCCAGCCCCTCAAAATCAGTTTTTCCTATTTTTCAAAGTGGATAGGGATGAAAAAAAAAATATGATGCCACTGATTTCACGAAATAAAATTCCTGGTAACTGCGCTAAATGAGATTCTTTAAAAATAAATAATTCGAAGTGCGTTCGGTGCATGGTATTTTCTTTTTTTTTTTTTTTTTTACTGAAATAGTTTGGGGAATAAAACTGCGGTGTAAAAGCGAGTGGGTCGTTAGAATATTAAGATAAAATAAAATAATTTTAAAAAAATGCTTATTTAATCTAAATGAGATTCTTTAAAAATAAATAATTCGAAGTGCGTTCGGTGCATGGTATTTTCTTTTTTTTTTTTACTGAAATAGTTTGGGGAATAAAACTGCGGTGTAAAAGCGAGTGGGTCGTTAGAATATTAAGATAAAATAAAATAATTTTAAAAAAATGCTTATTTAAGGATTTATACGAAAAATTTTGTATTTAGGGGTTGTTGAATTATCTCCCCGCTGTGATCATCTCTATGTGCCCACCGTAAGCTCTTGACTTTTCCTCCACTTGGAGCAATTTTTACATGGCACGCCTAACTCCCACTGATGGCCCCCTACTGATGGCCTTTACTGGTGGCCCCTACTGGTGGCGCCCCTACTGGTGGTGCCCCTACTGCAAGCTCCTACTAATGGCTCTACTCGTGGCCCCCACTGGAGGCCCCTACTGGTGGCCCCTACTGATGTCTCTACTGGTGGCCCCTACTGATGGCCCCACTGGTGGCCCTACGGGTGGCTCTTCTGGTGGCCCTTTCTAATGGCGGCCCGTACTGGCATTCGCACTTTCCACCCATGTATTTTTTTTTCTTAACCCGCTACTTAAGTGCCGCTCCTCAGATGTTATGTCCCTTGAATCACATGACATCTGATTTATGTTGGAATCATTGTTACCTTCTCTAGCAATTAATGTTGAA